AAAAAAAAAAAAAAAAAAAAAAAGAAATGGGTGCAGGAGTTAAAAAAGGAAAAGAACGAAAAAAATGAATACATTACAAATGCGAAGAAATACACACGCGCATACGTATTATAATACGCATGTACGTAAGTACGCATGCTTGCTATATGTTCAATACGTAAGGGCACGCAGTGAACTTCACATGAGTGTATAAAAACAAGTACTTAAAACGCATATGCTTATGCGTACGCAGGCCAATAAATGAAGATTAATTGGGGTATATTTCGAATCTCAAATTAGCTCAAAAAAAAAAAAGAAATAGCAAAATGAAGGGAAAAATATAAATAAATAAAAAGAATGCCTTTTATGCTTAACGTGTTAAAAGGAAAAAAAGAAAGAAAAAAAAAATATACATCCTCGTACGTGCAGTAGGAATTGTTTTTATGTAGATTTGTATGCAATGCCATTTTGCATATGCCACAAGTGATATATTCGTACACGCGAGGAAGGTATGCGTACGAAGGATTTTCCGGGGGAAGGGACATGTGATGCACGTGGAGGTTGCGTGGGGCTGCCAACCGACGTGTAAAGGCCGCGAAAGCGCTGTGTATAATTGTGTACAATTATATGTGCAATAGTGTACAAGTCACCTTACAGGTCATTACAAAATCATGTACGTATGCTCGCCTCCCCGTTTGCCTCAAAAAATAAGCACTGCTTATGCCCACCGAGCTTAAGCACATATGGGAAAGACGACAAGGTGAAGGGTGGTTTCCCGCAAAGGAAAGCGCCAAGTTGAAAAAAGAGAAAAGTCCAAGGAGAAAAATGCAGGGAAATGCAGCAGCAAAAAGGGAAGAGAAAAAAAGTGCAAGGGAAAAAATACGTGAAATTTGGGTACACTTTTGCTAGGGTACAGGAGGCACGCGAAAGGTACTAATGGGCAAAATTTCACAAAAAGGTGCCGAAATGGTCGAAAAAAGGCCGCAAAAAAAAAAAAAAAAAAGAGGCACACATAATACGACCAACTCGCAATTACTTGCATGGACGATAGAAATGGCTGAACGCGTACGGAGGAGGGAGTACACGGGAAATCCGGCCAAAAGGAAAAAAAAAAGGAGGACAACTTTGCAGTAACATAAAATTGAATTCATAAAAAATATCATCCTCCCTCGATAGCCCTTTTCTTGTTCAATTCTTTCTTGAAAACGTATGGTCATTTATTCCCTGCCCTTGCGTACACATTTTTGAGGAGCTACTCTGTCACAGTACGTCATAATGAATCGGTGGGGATATACCGGCACCTGTGCTTAAGTACCGTAGTGTCGCACACGGTGAACAAAAAAAAAAAAGAAAAGAAAAATGCAAACTGAAAGCGCAGATTTAAAAAGAAGAATAAAACAGAGTGGCAAACCAAATGATATACAGTAGCACATAACAAATTGGTCGCCCACGCCTCCCCAAAAAAAAGCCAACAGATCAGCGCACCATAAGATACCTTTGTAGCATCGCATTGATGAAGGCATATATACAAGAACGAATAGTGTGTGTCTTTTCCTGATGCAAACTCGTTAATTTCAGTTCGAATGATCATACCGTGCACGCACTGTTCATCACCCTTATGTTTATTATTCTCTTGGGGAAGGGAGGCTAAAATGGGAAAATCCAAAAATGACCACACCCCTGCCGGTTTACCTGTTCACGTTTGTGTATTTTCCTGACTTGGTCCGCACAATTGGCAAACAGGACGTGGCGCAAACGACACAGCTTTAGCCATAACTGTAAAAGAGGAGGTCCCTCCAATTCAACGTTGTTAAAAAAGGATCCACACATAACAGTCTCCATTATCTGCTACGTTCCCTGCATGTGCTGAAAAGTTAGGAGCGGCACATTATCCGGAAAAAGAAAAAAACATTATGGGTGGCGCAAAGACAGGATTACACTTCTTACACAATACATAAAAAAGGAGAAATTTTTTTTTTTACGGCATCTGTGTGGCCATACACTGCAAAGCGATAAAACAAGAGATACGAGTGTCCAATTTTTTATTTTGTCCCGTCGATCTTATTTATGGCCACCCATATGTACACGCGAAATTGTTAGTGTTGTCGAATTCATTTGGTCCTCCATCATCATGCAATCATTTTTTATGTCAATTTGTTAACTGCCCCAAAGATTTGATGAAAGAAGTGCAGATGGGAAAATTTTGCCCTCCTTTTATGTGGGCACAGACAAGGTGGTGAATCCAAAGTGCCTTTTTTTTTTTTTTTTTTTTTTTTCGCAGTCAATACTGCTGACACGAAATTGTAATCATATGAAAAACCGAATTATTCATTTTTGTTATTTCCCAGAGTGGCTACACGTGATTGTCCCCCGTAGGACACGATGCGTAAAAGCCGCTAGCACAATAAATGGGTAAATAAAAAAATAGCGCTTTTGCGTGTGTTCTCCCTTTTCCTCTTAAGAAAGTCAAAAAAAAATAAATAAATATATAAATAACATGTAATCCTGGTGCATTGCTATACACGCACTGAAGATGTCCAGCCCGCCTGAGCTGTCTCCTATATGCGTCTTCAGTCGCGAAAGTGGAACGGAAACGGGGAAACAAAGGTTGAACCAGTAACAGTGAAAAATTTGGACATGGTACATTTTCGTAATGTTCCCTAATGTGCCACCGTCCTTGCTACACACTTCGTGCTCATTTTTTCCAAGTCCTCAGAGTGCTTTTACCATGGGTAAATTCTCATGGGTGAAAAAATTGAGTCGCAAGGCAGAGACCAGTTTGATTATTTTCGCTAGCACTTTTGCGAAAACTGTCCTGCACATCCATCTCCAAATATATATACACGTATTTTTCTTCATTCGATCAAATTTTTTTTTTAAAAAGTTCAAAAATTCGCCTACAATATGGTGAAAAGAGTAAAGTACATGCAAAGGTGTCAAACGCACTTAGCCTGTAATTAATTTGGAGCCCAAAAATATTTCGCTTCGCTTGGACAGCCTTGCGCAGGAAGGAGGGAGTGGAAACGCGAAAGTGCTTTCTCATGATGCACGTAAGTTATGAAGATACACCCGCGCGGTCAACGCACGCATGTGTGCTCGAACATGCTTAATCCCCTTTAGGCAGTTTATTCTCCTCTGTTCATGTTCTTCAAATGACCCCACCCCAGGCTCGTGTGTAGAAATATTCCAAAACGCAGCGCCGAATGGATGCACGCGTAATGAGTGCAACTGATTCGGAGAAGAAAATTTGCCTTGTGGAAAAAAAAAAAAAAGTTTCCACCCAAAAATTAGTCACTCCAAGCGGTAGTGACGATGCACTCCCTCCAGAGCTGTGTTGAGAATTCCTGTGCCATGATATGTATGTTTGCTTCCCGAAAGGCTAAATCCTGGTGAGGCAAGACCACCCGCTTATAGGGCCCCTCCCCCAGTGTAACCGCAAGGCTTATCCTTTTCATGCGCATATGTGCAAAAGGGGGGGAGGGTGTAAACCGTCAGTGTTTGTAAAAAGGGAGTGAGCTTCTCAGAAATGTGAGCAGAATTGAATTGTACAAGGGAAGAGGGGAAAAAATAAAAAAAAAAATACTCCCCCAAATTAGGCAAAACCCGCGGTAGACAATTCGAGTGCACATATAAAAAAAAAAAACAAAAAAAAAAGTGAAAGAAAAAAACTGTGCAGAAGAAAGTATGTAACAAGAGGGGAAAATATATTAACATGTGTATGAAGAATGAATAACTCCTATGACACCTACAACTACTCCAGTAGCATCTTTAACAGTCCTGGGAAGACATCCATGCTGAGCACATCTTCACAAAATTTAAGCGGCAGTTACGGCTACAACAATGTGAGTCCACAAAATGAAATGATAACTATCATCCTAGAGCAGTGTGTGCAGGAGTGGTTCCCTTTTTTAAGAGAACATGAAGATGGGGGAACAAAAGCGGAGAGAAATAAACGAACCAACTTAAATGATGAAATAAAGAGGCTAAAAAATTTCTACAAGGGGGTCAACTCCCCCAATTTCCCACTGAAGAAACTGGGCAAAATGGACAGGAGTATTTCTAGCTTGAATGATGAAAATGACGATGAGGACATTTTCTACAATAGCAATAGTTTGTATATGAATTTGCTCAGTGGAGGAGAGGAGGGAGAACCTCCTTGTGAGGAAGGACAAGCCAAGCATCAGGAGGGGAACTCTCCGGATGAACAAGGTGATGTCCTCTTTAACCAAGCGTACACCAGAGTAAAAGCGAAAACTCAGGAAGAGAACCAACACGCACTCCTCGGAAGAAATGCCCTAGAGGAGAATCTCTTCTATGACTGCATAGCGGAAAAGGAGGGCGCGGACAAGTGCCGTGCTCAGGACCAGCAGGGGGATGGGGAAGCCCCCGTGTGGTCACTGCAAAAGATAAGGAACCAAAACGAAGATGAAAAGAAAAACTTTTATCTACAACAATGTAGGGATCAAATGAACGAGAACAAAGAGCACAAGATGAAGCAGCCCCTCTTGTTATTGCAAAGGGAGGAAGATGGAAAAAGGGAAGAGGACAACGATAGCGACGACGACCACCAAAATAAGCAGGAGGAGGAAGAAGAAAAATACAAATTGCATGACAGGGTGAGCGCACTCATCGGGGGTAGAAACAATCGCAGTGATTATGACAGTCGCGATACAAGCGCCTTTAACACTTCGAAGAGCAGAAAAGGTGGTGAGGAAGAGGAAGGAGAAGAGGAACAGTATCCCCTGCGCAAGAGCGACATGAGAGACTGCAGTGTGCAACCTCTAAGCAGCAAAGAGGAAGACATAACCCACGATGTCTATGTACCAAATAGAAGGAAGGGAAAAATATCAAGCGTATCCAAATTGGCTGATTCACAAAAAGGGGATAACTTTACGAACAGGGAGTCTGTTCCCCGCGAGGACTACTCCAGTAAGAGCATAAACTACATCATTCAGGAGATAAAAAAAGAGGAATCGAAGGAGAAAAACTTCACCATGGATTCATATGGAACGGTGTACCTTTCCATATGCAGGAAGGTTTTAGAAAAAGACGTAGATTATTTCTTAACCCCAAGAATATTACCCAATGAGGAACTATTAAATGAAAAAAAAAAAATTAAAGAGATTTTAAAACTGTATGATAAGTTATTTTATAGCCATTTTAAATTTATCCCAAACAAGATTTACAAGGAAACGTTGAGACCTATATATTCGTATTACCAGAACTTGAAATGTACCCTCGTAGGGGGGGGAGTGTCCGTTGGTTCGTTCGATGGAAAGTCTAGAAAAAGCTGCTCGCTAAGCAGGGACTACGAAATTGAAAGAAGCAGTAAGAAAAGAAGAACGAATGTGTAGAGTGGGCGTGCAGTTGCAGTGCGGCCCTGAGCAGGGGCTAAGCGGCAACCCTGTCCTGTAGCGCATGCATGCGCATGAGCGTGGGAATATCTGTTCCCTTATGCGGGGGCATGTCCGTTGTTAGTTACACACAACAAAATCTGCTGACCCACACACGTACGCATACGTTGCACCCACATAGCATACATTCGTTTCTCTCCCCCCTTTTTGTCTAAGCCAATTACAACTCGAATGACGAGATTAAAAGCTTCGAGAGTAGGCCCGCCGACAGTTCGGAGTACAAAAACTTGGGAAGCTCCTCCAACGCGGAGTGCAAAAGCTTGGGAAGCTCCACCAACACGGAGTACAAAAACTTGGGGAGCTTCTCGAACTTAATAAACGACCAGAACATTAAGAAGATTTTGCTCGACGTGGATGACAGCAAAGACATAAGTCACTTGGAAAAAAAGTACAAATATATTTACAAGGATCTGTTGAAGCTAAAAAGTCTGCTGCTAAAAAAAAGGCATTATAAAAACATACTCTTCGAATATCAGAAAAAATTCGTTCAAAATAACAACAGGTGTGTCAAAACGTATAGAGATATATATCCCGTGGAGAAGGAATATAAAATATACACCCAAATTAAGAAGGAAACGGGGGATGTCATTAAAAGCATTAACGCCAATTATAAGAAGCATTACTTGAACGGCTGATTATGGTTATGACTCGAGCGATGCGAGCCTGCACTTTTGCTGTCTCCACCGCTTTTCCGTACCTTTTTTTTTTTTTTTTTTTTTTTAATTTGTTTGATGTTACCCAAGAGGTGACAGCATCGCCCACTGTTTGCACGCGTGTAATTACTGGGCCTGTTTTGTATATCCCTCCATATATTTTTTTCTGCATTTTCAGCGACTTCTTCACGTGGATGTCCTGCTGTTCTCTTCAACACTTGAACGTACCATTTGCATTACGAAATGAGAGAGGGAGTAATCAACCGCGTGGGCGCACACATGCGCATGTGACATGCCACTTTGACGGATGCACCGATTGCATGTCTTCCTCGGAGGGGGCGAAGTGGGCAAGACAATAGGGTTGTCCGATTACCAAACCATTTCGCTTAAAATGGACAAAAAAATAAAAAAAGGGAGCGCACACCTGCAACGTAACAATTGAACACACAAAAAAAAAAAGGAATAGAAATTGGCTGGCGTCCTAACGCTGGATGGGCCTTAACACAGCACCAGACTCCCAATTTCAATTCGTATTATTATCTTCGTACTTTTCGAAATAATGCCTAAAGTACAGGACGGCGGCATTTATATTTTTGATCTGATTTTTGGGGAAATTGAGGATGTTCTTTTCCGGCGGAACTTCCTCCTGTTTCCTTATTCTGCAATTTTTCACGTGAGCTCGTAGGTTGGCCATTCGTCTTTGCTTCATTAGTTTTCGTTTCGTAGTTGGGGGCACGTGTCCCTTGGCCTTCTCTCTTAAACGTTCGACATTTTTACAGTCCTTCACCCCTTTTAAAAACATTTTTATAATTTCAAGCTTGGATAAGTCTTTCCTGTTCTCTATGTCAATTTCGACACTAGCGTTTCTTAGCCTTTTCATGTAGCTTTGGACTTCACGTGGGCATGTCCCTTCGCGTCTACGTTGTCTGTACCCCATGGGCACATTTACACTTTGGTTTTTCCCCCAATGGGGGATGTAACTTTGGCATGTCGAGATGAACAAGAGCACGGGGAGGCCTAGAAAGTAATTCTTCATTCGGTAGGGTTTTTATTCATTAGCAAACAGGAAAAATATAAATATATCTCCGTGCATGTGTTGTTATACCTCCAATTGTTTTCACGTCTTTTGTTTGTACATTCCTCCGCTCCTTTGTCCGGACTGGATTGGGTAAAAAGTATCATCACAGGGGGTGAAAATGTCTTCCCTTATCGAGTGTGCATTGTAATCATGTGGCTGCTTCCTAATTTAAGTGCATGTAGCTGAACACACCTGTAAGTTGGAAAGGTGGGGAGGCACAAACTGATTTGCAAAAAATAATGAGTAGCTACGAGCAAAGGGGTAAAAAAAAAAAAAAAAAAACACCAAGCGGGTTGATAAGTGAAGCGGTGAATGGGATCCTTTACCAATGTACAGTACTAGGGTGCACATAACAAAATCGAAAATGACTTTTTCCCGTTTGAGATTAAACAGGCTCTTGTTCGTGAGCTTCGCCATGGAGGAAGGATAAAGGGGGGAAGCAGGGATGAGATAAGGTGGGGAGCAGAGGGACGGGCTCGGAAAACATGGAACGAACTGGGGTGTGCATTTAGGCGTGTAGTTGGATTAGCGCGAGGCTGAAGATGCCTCACACTTCACAGCTTCTCTGCTGCTTCTTTGCTGCTTCTTTACCACTCTGGGGTTACCTGCTCCCGGAGGGCCACCAAAAAGGTCAAATTTCCAATGGCCGTGAAAATCGCGGCAACTGACATCCGTTCGCCAAAAAAGGAGTAAGCGTAAGCACACAAGGACAAAATAATTAACGCGGAAAAGGTAAAAACGAGGAAAATATCTATGAGCTGAATGATCCTTGGTGTGTGCCGGTATATATCCCAAAGGGAGCTTCCTATGCTTTTCATTTTCTCCGCGTCCTAGCGTTAGTCTTGTAAAAGAGTTGTTGTGGTGGTGGGGGGGCAGCCAATGGCAAGCAGGGTGCACAGGTACATATATGTACATATAAATGCACGTGTATGTATATATACGTGCTTGTTGGTACCCCCCATCGATGTTTCAACGGAGAATTTACCCGCTACGAAAAAACTGCACAGGTGGATGTTAGGGCTAGCCCGCACGGATAAGCCGAAAATGCCATCAAAACAGGGAAAAAAATAAAAAGTCTATGCAGGAATTGTTTGCCCACTTTGTATTCTTCAAAGTTGGGACACTTGGAATGGTGGGAAAAAGAAAAAAAAATTATTTTTCCCATCTCGCACCCATCTTTTTGCACATGCTTATGCGTATTGCACAGGTTTTAAAATGTGAGAGATCACACTTACGCCAGAATTGTTGGCCCCCAATAAAAGTAAAGCAACTTTTTTTCCATAGGGGTGGGATATTTGTATACGTTTTACCATGAGTAGGCACAGGAAGCGCACCCTACATGGGGAAGAGCGCTCTCGGGGGCAGCCTTTCTTAGCCTTTGTGTGAGCGCTGTGTCGTTTTATAATTGACGTCATGCACGTGTTTATGTAGGCAATGGGAGCAACTTACACGTTTGTGGAGTACTTCATATGGAGAGTACGTTTCTGTTCCACCATCAGTTTTAACAAACTGGAAGAGTAACGCTTATCACAGCTGGAATTGCTCAACAGTGCGTTGTTGCAAATTTTTTTTTTAATTTTTTTTTTTTCCAATATTTTCTCTCTTCAACAGTTTGTATACATCGCGAGTTCTACAACATGAGCGTTGGATTTTTTTTTTTTTTTTCATTTCGCTGACAATCTGGGAGAATCATAGAGAGGAGGAAGCCCATTGAAAAATGCTTCCCCAACCTAAGCCCTGGTAACGTCTCTCTACGAAAGCGTACGACGGGCGTGCATCCTTGTTCGGCGAAAAGGATAGCTTCCCTAATCTGTTGTGTGAGCAAGAATTAGTGGAGGCCGATGCCGGAGCGACAATTTTAATCAATGGGTATACGCACTCCCCGTGAGAGAGGAAGAAGTTACCTCCTGCGCCAAGTGCAAACGAAAGAGGAGACATCCTAGTAGACCGGATGAGTTAGGGATCATACAAACTTATACCCTCCATTAGGGACTATTTCGTGTTATACCCCGCCTTATGTATATATATTTGTCCCATTTTTTGCGCACTGCCCCCCTGTGCCGTCAGCCCCCCCTCGTGTGCCATGTTCAAACTTCCTGGGCAAGATAATGCTTAGAGGAAGTTCCATAAAATGATCGCCTCATTATTTTTAAAAAATCTGAAGAAGAATGAGAGGAAATTAATCCAACATCTGGTAAGGTGGGACCATGGAAACAATGTAGACGTTGGGCAAACAAGTTATAAAAAAGTGAAAGGGGCCCAAAATGTAGGAAGACTGAGCACAGTACGACAAATAAAGGGTCATAAAAAGGACCTGGTGATGTGCCCAAGTAGCCATTTAACTTGTGCAGGTTTGTTTTTCCCCTTCAATTGGGACGGAAATATGATGAAGGATCTTCCGTTTCAAATAACCAAGGGAAGGGTGTCCACTCATTTAGAATGTCACAAGTGGCGTATGGATGAGGAGAAGGTTGGCGAGAACAATGGAGAGAAATGTGTAAGCATAGGTAGTACTATGAAGAGGTTGATTCCATTTCAAAGGAGTTGTTTTTCCACCCGAGTTGGTAACCTGTGCAGTGGTGTTAATAGAGGATACTACACGAGAAGGTTCTTTGGCACCTCCTCAGAAGGTACTTCTGGTGGACATTCCAAAGGGGATAATGCCAAGGTTAACAAAATGGAAGGGCAAGCGCAGGGGGGCGCTAAAGGTGAAACTCCAAATGGGGAAAACCATGAAAGTGGAAGTCACTCAGCAGTGACGTCCACTGGTAACACATCCAATACTTCTGGCGATAGTGAAAAGGCCCCACCAAACGGAAATAATGAAAAGCAATCTCTGAAGCAAATATATATGCACAAAAAACAAAGAGAGAAGATGATCAAGATGTACCTCCTGCTGAGCCTGTTGCTAATGCCATTCGGACAGGCATACATGTACTGTCTCGAGAATGACATAAGCATGGAGGAATTTTTAAAAATTTTAAAAAATAAAACAGAAGTGCTAGAAAATAAATACAACGATATATTGCAAGAACTGATTGATAAATATTTTCCACTGAGTAATGAGCCATTATTACCGGACTTCAAAGATTTAAATTACCCCGAAAATTTACCAACCCTAGTTATTGACCTCAATTATGTAATAGCTAAATTAGAGTATGATAGGAAAAGTGGATGGAGAGTATTGAAGAGACCCTATGCTGATATGTTCTTTAAAGAGTTGTCCAGTTTTTATGAAATTGTTATTTGGTCAGAAGATAATTTCCCAGTTGCACAGGAAGTCATTTCTAAGTGGGGCATACCTGCCATTGGATGCTTACACAGAGATCAATGCTCTAGGAAGAGAGGACATTACGTAAAAGATTTGAAGAGACTGGGTAGGAATCTTGACCGAGTTGTTATCATTGACCACGATTCGCATGCCTTTATGCTTCAGCCGGAGAATGGAATTCTCATAAAAGAATTTCATGGCGATGTTAACGATAAGGAAATTTTGTGCCTCATCGATTTGCTAAAGTCGTTTGCCATCAGCAGCTACGACATTTCGCAATTTCTGAAAAAGTACGGGGGGGGCGACTACAACATCGGGAAGCGGTACATGCAATTGAAGAGTGACACGGAGCAAAAGTCCCAGCGGATAAGAAACTTTGGAAAAATTTTCCACGTCGACGGGAAGAGGTCGCCCAACGGCATGTCCTTCAACTCGTGAGGGGTGCATCCAGCTATTTTTCTATTTTGCTATGTTGCTATTTTGCGCGTACCGATTTTGCAGCTGATCGGGGGCAGCGAGCACAACTTCTCAACCTTTTAACAAACCCAAACGGTTCATGTACATTTGTTCGACCCCTTCGTTGCCTCCTACGGGTTGGCCATTTTAGGCGGCGAAATGTGGTTCACGATGTGTGCGTGCAATCGTTGGCAGTGTAGCGATGCAATTGATCCTGGCTGCACACCCTTCTGTAACCTTTTCCCATCCGCCCTTCTATCATTTGCATTTCTCCCCCCAATTATGTCTTTTTTTTTTTTTATTTTTTTTATTCCATCCATAAAAGTGAGCCATGAAAAAACACCCACGTGTCCACTTCCCATTTGCCTTTCAAATTCAAACATTAATGTTCCTCCCACAGAGGTTAAAAAAAAAAACAAAAAAAAAAACGAAAAAGTGTTAACCAATGCTGCACGCAAGGTGTTCCCCCTTTTGCCGAAAAAGAGGCAGTGCGATTCAAAGTGCGAAATGAACTGGGTTATGTGTTAACAAATGGGCATGCAGAATGAGGGAAATGCAAAGCGTCTTATGTGTAGCTTGCTGAATTTTGCTAATAAACGGGGAAGGCGCTCCCACACAGCGCTGTGACCACCACCCCCCTTACATACTCGTAATTTTGTTGAAGAAGAACTTGACCTCCTCCGCAGCCTTCATGCCTCGCTCCTTAATATCGTGCACATAGTTTTTGTTTTGGGTGGGCTCCCTCGGGGGGTCCTTCGTTCCCGTACCTTCTTTCTTCAGAGACAGGATCTTCTCAATCTCCTCGATGGTGCAAATGTTGTTATTCTCGGTGAGCAGCATGTTGAAGGAATTCATGTCGTATATATTAGAGATAAATATTTTAATTAGAAATTGAATTTTATTCGTTTGGTTTTTTACATAATTGAAGTATGTCTGAGGAATGATGCATTCGTCGTCTGACTCTGCGGATGCCTGCCCCCCTGCTGCTGTTCCGCGTGCAGCAGCGTGGGTGTTGTTCTGGTCCCCCTTTCTGGTATTCAACAGAGCTGCCGTTTGAAATAAAATTTTTTCAATTTCGTGACAATCCAAAAGTAGCTGCTGGGCAGTTACATTGGTCATGAACTGAAACGAAAAAATGGTGTGATAAAACTGCTGAATGATCAGTGTGGTCGTTTTTTCGAGTAAATAAATCAGGTAGGTTTCATTAAAAATTTTTTTAAAAAAGGAAAAATATTCACGCAGAAATAGGTCCATATTAGTTATGTAAGGTGTCTTTTCTTGGACATCATTTGGGTCATATATGTTTGTAATTTCTTTGTTCGAAATGATGGAATTTATTTTTTTTTCTACAAAGACGATAATTCCTTTTATACATTTTGTTTTTATTTGTAAAAATTCTTGTTCCTCTTCTTTGAAGCAAATTTTGTCCTTATAAATTGGGTCAATAACTTTAACAAGATTTTCGAATGCTTCATTCATTGTTTGTTCTACATAATAACATGTATTGATTATGATGGAGAGTAATTTGAAGTGGTGATTTTTGTTTTCCTCCTTCACCTCTTTTACAATTCTTTTGTTCAGCTCTTCACTATATTTTAATAAAAGGGTTTTAAAAAAGGTTACAAAATCGTATAACGTTTGACAGTCGCTAAATTGAAGAATCATATTTATGTAGCTTTTGTAGAGGTAAAACATTTTGTAGGCTGACTTATACACTGTGTGTTTTTCTTCCACCATTTCGGTGTCCACTTGTGGGGTGTTTTTTTCCTTTTTTTTTATAATTTTGTTAACATCAAATAGGGGGTCCTTTTCTGAGGAGGACAATTTGTATTCACTATATTTCCCCTGTCCCTCGACCGTGTCTTCCTTATTTTCGTCGTTTATGATGTTTTCAAATTTTTGAAGAATTTTTTTTTCTTCATATTTTAGCCAGCTGCACAGGTAGCTGTCGAAGGCACACGAGATGACTCCCTTGAAGTTTTGCGGCGCTTGGGAATTAGCATCATCATGCATAGCGCTAATGGAGTGATCTCCCTCCCGCCCATCTGTGTTGTCCATTTGGTCTGTTCTCTTCTCTGCTTCGGCGGGGGAAGCATTCTCCCCTTCAGCGTGTCCCCCCCCTGGGGACAAGTCCCTCTGCATAATTAGCTCTGGGAAGGGAAAGTCCAAAGAAGAGTATGCGTCATGTGAGGTGGTCCTCTTTTCAATAAAAAACGTTACATTTTTTGATAAAAAATTTTCAAAATTAATCACCTTAATGACAGTCTGGATTAGGGATACGGGATTCATCTGGTCCATAGAAGAAGACATAATTTTAACAATGTGTTTTTTGGTGATGGAGCAGAATTTGCAGACAACGTGGTAAGGCATATTATAAACCGGAGGGAAAATATGAGCATACACATGATCATAGGTATTCAATGCACGCTTCAACCATGCCATGCGTCTATCTATCCCTTCCAAATTATTTGCTTGATTTTCAAAAATGATAATATATTTTTCGAGAAAAAAGTTGGAAAATTTTTTAACTACATTGGAGACCAACTTTTGATCCAAGTGATATAAAGATTTGCATGCATCGAACAGATTGATGGACATTTTTTCTCCTTCGGCGTTGTTTGCCTCATTCACGATGATGAGGTTCTTCTCAATGTGCACATCGGGGTCGTACACCAAATCGATGTCTTCCTTTATCTGATGCTTTACATCGTCGAAAAGGATTTTAGCATCTTTGTACAGTGTCCTTAATTTTTCGTTTGTCCTCAAGTCGGACATGTGTATGAGCATTTCTTTGATGACAGAGATGAGGGGAATACATCCACTGTACTCTCTTTTGACGGCTTTTTTTTTCAAGCTACTTATAGCAGTGATAACCATAACAATTCTTTTCATTATTATAATCGTTTCTGTTACGTTTTTTTTTCCTATGTCTAATTTTTTTATATCCTTACATAGCTTCACTAGGATTTGTTCACTCTCTTGTGTTTTTTTATCTACTTGTTCCATTTGGTTATTAATTATTTTCATTTTTTCTTTTATGTGTGTTAATTTTTGGTCATACTCATTTTGACTTAGGATATGGCTCTCTACCTTTTCGCTTATGGTTTTATCCAGCTCCATTATTTGTCGGTTCATTTTTTCCACGTGGATTTCCACATCTTCGATTTTGGCGATGTTGCTGTTTATGTACTCCTGCACGAACGCGTCGACTTCCCCCATGGTCAAAATTTGAAGCGGTCAACCGGTGAAAAGGTCAGGCGGTGAAGCGGTAGATGGGTCGCGTTTTCAAAGGTGTACCCCGTACCCAAGAACACTACCGCGGATGTAGCAAATCAGGGAGTACATGTTTCCGTTGGTGTCCCTTCTTTCCTAAAGGGTTTCGCCAAAAGTTAGGTGAAAATTATTTCACCGTTTTGTCGCCCGTGTTGTTACTCAGCTGGGTTAAATTGAAACCGTCCTTGTTAGATGTTACTGCCTTTTTTATTCCACATTTGGCGCCCCCTTTTTCATTACAACTGTGGAGCGGGGGGGACTTGCTATAAATCGACACCTCTTAATGATCACCTCACCAAAAAATTTTTACCCAGGCGAGTTTATTTTTCACCAACATGAAGGAATAGCAGTAGGATGGTGACCAGCATCAGGTCAGAATTTTATTTCACCCCTCGCTTGTTGTATATATCCCTTTTTGTTTTTTGAAGGGGATTGAGCTAATTGATTAGGGCACGCAATTGTGCACACGGGGTTGGTTTCCTTTGGGAAGGAAAATGCATTTCGCGTGGTATAGTTGCACGAGGGGGAAGGCGGTAAGGTTAAGAGGACATTTAAAACGGGGGAATTTCAAAAGAGCGCACGTTTTACAAAAAAAAAAAAAAAACAAGAAAATTAAATGGGCAAAAGGGGGAAACATATAAGGGGGGTAAAAACCTTTGCCCAAATTGTGATAAAAATAACCCAGTGCACGGAACACATTTGGTATGTCCCGTTCGAAAACTTAATCGTTTTGTTTTCTCAAAATACATAAAAAAAAAAAAAAAAAAAGAAAAAAAAAAGCGGTCCAATGTGGACCCCTCGGGGAATAATCTTGATTGCAAATTTGTTGGAATATGTCCCCGGTTGGGGTGTGGCCGAGTGAGACAACCCCATGAGTTAGCCGGATGAGTTTTCCTCCTAAGTTACTCCTTCACGAGGTCATACACTCCTCCCCGAACAATCTGCTCTAACAGCTAAAGAAACTCCACGTCGGCCACAATCCGCTGCTTAGACTGGCGCATGAGGAAGGCCACATTTTCCGCATTGTCATAACTTTTGAAGTACAAAGTATCGACCTTCCCTTTAATCTTCAATGTGTTGTAAATGGAGTAGGCCCTCTTATAATCACAATTGCTTATCAAGCTGGTGATCGTTTCGACGAACTCTGCCTGATCGTAGTTGTCATCATATATGACCAGCTTGGCAAAATTTATGTCGCCAAAAGACGGTTCTGCGTTGTCGGTATCATTATCGTTTAAATTTTCATCACAAAATCCGTAGGACTCCAAGTCATCGGTTTTTATATTGTATTTGTCAAAGTCGAATGATTCGTCGTGGTCATGACTGTCGTCGTTTTCATCAATGTCCTCTTCGTCACTTAAGTTTTTTTCGTCCTGATCGTTGTTTATTTTCCTCGCGTCGTTTTCGCTTTGTACGTTCCATTTTATGAGGCAGCTCACAGATTTCTTTGTGGTTTTATTCTGGCCCGCGTCGTTTCCGTCTTTCGCCGGGCTCGGCGCGGAGTCGTCTTTACCCATACCAGCGTCGTTGTCACGGTCGTTGTGAGGGTCGTTACCGGGACCGTCTATTTCACAATTTGCCGTTTCGCGTGCAGCGCCTCCTGACTGACCTGCTAACTCTCCCCTTACAGGCTCGCCCGAAGGGGCCCGTTCCTGAGACGCACCCGTTACACCCACTTTTGGCACTCCGTGCTCCTCCACGGACAAATACCTCCTCTTACCCTCCCCATGGAGCTCAAAAAATCGCTGATTAAACTCCAGCACTTTCCTTTTTCTCTTAGACATGTATCTTAACTTAGCCAGTTCCACATCCTTCTTCGCAAAGTGCACAGTTGGTAATACCTTGTGCTCGTGCAGAACCCAATTTCTGAAAAGTACATTGAGGTCTTTCTTATACGAGTAGGTTCTGTACTCTGCATCTACGAAGGTTTCTAATTCATAGATGTCAAGATTTGGTTTATAATTATCATACATAATGGTGTAAAAGTAATCACGCATGGCGTAAACCTTTTTGTATAAAATATTGTCCTTGTCATTTTTGATGTCTTCGATTTTGTTAAGATCGATTTTTTTGCTGTCGTTATGCAGGACCCCCATTTTTACAAATTCGGTGCACATTTTTTCGCTTATCTTTTCCAAAAACTCGTACTTTAAATTGGGGTCCTTCTTTATCCTTTCCAGCAATCCATCGCCCCTGTTTTGATTCTGTGTGCCGTCTTTAACTCCTTCGTTGGGTGCGTGTTTATCGATTTGACTTTTCGTATTTTCCTCTCCGGGGGGTTGTTCTACCAGCAGCTGTTCTTGCGTTTTTCTGGGCTGCACTCCCGCGGTGGTGTCCTTTGCGGCATGGCCTCTCTTCGCTTTTTTTGTCTTTGCCCCGGTGCCCTCTTCGACACTCCCGGGGGTAGCACTGGCAGCAAGACAGCTAGTAACGCCCCCGCTAACACCTGCAGTAACACCTGCAGGAATGCCCGGCGGCACCCCATAGGTGAGTCCCATAATTTTCTTCATCTCCTTGTTCCTGGTGTAGTCCTGGGCGTAACTGTAAAAGGGGTCGAACCGCGTTGCGTCGTAGCAAATGTTTAAATTTTTCCTCCTGCAGCTATCAACCAAGTCGTTGACGCAGACCTCCCTGTAGGTGCTATCAAACCTGTTGACATACGAATTTGTGTTAATATCATACTGGTAAAGATTCATGATATCGGTGGAGTATGCATAGCTGTGTTTACGCACATAGTTGGGAATAAACTTGGTTTTTTTAATAACCTTGCTGAAGAGTTCATGTCGCTCAAAGTATTTCATTTTATTCACTTCCTCCTCATGTCCAATTATATCAATTTTGTAATTTAGCTGAAACAACTTGTAGGAAATTTTTTTCATTCTGTCAAATAGGGAATTTAAAAAATAAAAATATTTGTGAACATTTTTTATTACCCAAATATTATTTATATAATTAACCAAATAAAAATCATCGATGTACTTCATTCTGTCTACATTGGTAATTATGTTGAGGAAATATCTGTATATGTTGAAACCTATTTGGTCTCCTTTTTCCAAGGACACTTTTTTTAACTCCACTAGCTCTTTATATATGTCGTCATTTATGTTGTCCTTATTTATGTTTGTGATGTTAACCTTTTTGAAATAAAAATAAATATTATTTAAGTCGACAAATTTTTTTTCTTCTCCTTGTTGTTGCTTGTCTTCCTGGTCCTTTCGCGAGGGACATTTGTTCTTATCAATTGAGGCACCGTTGAAGAGGTCATCTCTGTCTCCGTTGTTGGTCTTCATGGTGTGGTTTTCTGCGTCCGCTCCATCGTCTTCTTCTCCCCCCTCTTCGTAGTACACATACCTGCTATCCAAATATATACGATTCACATCTTTATACAAAATTTTGTCGATCTCCTCGTTGTCCTTGCTTCTAATCGCCCTGATGAGCAAGTTTAGTTTATCCTTCGAGAGCAGGTCCAGCACTTGCTCATCGGGCAAGCAGGTGTACTCGCTCTGCAGGTTAAAGTAGTCCTTCTGGTTGGGATGGTACAAAACAGGCGTTCTATAAATTTCTGATTTTTTCCTCTTTTTTGGTCTCTTCCTGTGTTGTAGTTTCGTCGATTTTAACTGGACTCTACTGGACATGTAAATTTTATTGGAGAAGTTTTTCAGCTTTACTTTAACGTTGTAATTTGTGTAGCGTCTGAAATTTATTGTCGACAGAAGCACAAGGAGGAGAAATGCCTTTTTCATTTTTCCTCGGGAGCGCTCATACAATATGCACACTTGTGCGTAAGTGCTCAAGTACGTGTGTGTCTCTCTGTGCAGGTAAAGTGTAGATGTGTGCATACGCCTGAACGCTAGGGCCTACGTGTTCGCTCATATGCGCTTCGATCTACTGGGGCGGCCTGCCGCTCTTGTCATTGTGCTGGGCGCGGGCTGTTATATGTGGAGGCAGTGGGCAAAAGCGCCTCCGTGGTGAAACGCCGCCGCGCTATAACACCACCGTGTTAAGTGCTAGCGAGATAACCCGCAACTGCACACACGTACACTAAGCGCGTGCGCATTTAGCCTCCCCGACGACCCACTTGCAGCGATCTCCACGAGTCAAATCGTACAAGTGCGCCTCCTCTAACAACCCCTCATTTTTGTTATACCGGGGAAAGAACAAAAAAAAAAAAAAAAAAAAAAGATGCAGCCAGGGTAACACGCAAGAGGTATTTCAAGTGAGTCTCAAATTGGGTGAGAAGTATACATGTGCAGGTGTGTCCCTGGCGAACGGCAGTTACCAATAATATATATGTGTATGTGTGGTTCCCCTTTAGCGAGGCAAGAGAAATAGGTCAACTGTTCTTTAAGCCTTCTCCAGAATGGGAGGAGAAAACTGGTTCAAGTGTATAACCGGCCTTACAACAAAATGGTGCGTTTGCGCGTTCGCACTAATTTGAAACCCGCGAAGTGTAACAAGTTTGCTCTGATGCGAAAATATTGCTCAAAATGGCTATGTACAAAATGCTGCAATTTTTTTTTTTTTTTTTTTTTTTTTTTGCGCCCTTGTTTCACTATGCATGTGTTCCTATTTAATGGCGTGCATCGATCGAGAGAGGAACACCGTAACAGGAAAACGGGGCACCTTGGGGCTCAGCTGCTTACGTATGCGTTCTTTCTTTAGGTTCGCAAAATACGAGTTTGTGAAATTTGAAAAAGGCCAGGAGGTCGAAGCGGATGCGTGAGGAGTAGAACAAGTTATATTATTACGGCGCCATTGACAAGGTTCATTCATCTGTTGGAAAAAACGTCGATCAGGGAGCTACACGAGGGCTAGCATTGTAACGCTTCCCTTCCGTGATTACCCTATTTGTGCTTGCGGTGTGCAAAGTTTACACACAGCATGGGAAAGGAAACAAATTTGTTGACAAAGCAGTGTTTAAATTGAAAACGCGACATGGACAACTCCTCAACGAAGTAGTTCATTAAAGGAGCGCATCGTAACAGGACACATTAAAGTGTGTTTAGTTCCCTTCAAGGGTGGCCTCCCCCAGTGGCAGGAAAGTTGTGTGAACGTGGGGGTCATACGAAATGAAACAGAAAAAAAGAAAAAATTCCACGTCTGGCCACGTTGCGCCACACAAAACGCTACGGAGGGGACGCAAAAGGACAAACTAGGGTGGTACACAAAAAAATGAAATTTTTTAAAAAAGTGGGTTGTTCTTATGAAAAGTTAGACAGTCACAGTTTCACGCAGCGATACAAAAAGCGCATCTCTGATGATAAGTGCGAAAGTGGTGGGAGCAAATGAATTGGTCATATGGTTTTAATTTTTAATCTTGGGGAGGTGCTTACCCTGTCGACGCGGTAGATACAGGTTAATATAATTTTAAAGACTTGTTTGGTTAAGCTAATCCGCGCGTTGGAAAAATGCACATATGTAAATGGTTCTTTTTTTTTCCGTTCCTTCTGGCTCTTTTGTGCACCTGTTTTCTTACTCTCCCCCTGCATGGAGATGCTGGCCACATGGGCAGAAATTGATAATAGGTGTTGGAATATCTCTCTTTTTTTTTTGGCACAACGTATTCACACTTTTAGGTCCACACAAAATGAGGTGTATCACCAGAGGACTTCTTCTCCATCTCCATTTCGTACAAGGGAGAGATGCTGCGCAGCCTCTTTACAGATTTAACCAAATTTTCGCAGAGCTGCTGCACTTCGAAGAAGGTGGTGAATCTGTTAAACCCAATTCTTATGGACGTGTGTGCAATATCTTCTGATATTCCTATGGACCGTAATACATAGCTGGGTTCTAAGGTGCTAGATGTGCACGCAGAACCTGAACTAAGAGCTATATCGTTTAAAGACATTAACAAACTTTCACCCTCCACAAATAAAAAGGAGACATTCATATTTCCAAAATATCGATTTGTTTGGCATCCATTGAAAACGATGTAATCTAAATTTTGCATCAAGTGATTTTTTACATAGTCAAAAAAGAATCTCATTTTTTTATTATCACGATTCATTTCGATAGATCCTAAATTTGCTGCTTCTCCTAACCCTACAATTAAATGGGTTGGTAAAGTTCCAGATCGTAGTCCCCTTTCTTGTCCCCCTCCATGTATTAAGGCATTTAGTCGTATGTTTGGCTTTTTCCTTTTTATATATAATGCTCCGATTCCTTTTGGCCCATACAATTTATGTCCTGACATGGACAACAAATCAATGTTCATTTTTTCCACATCGATGGGAATTTTACCTACCGCTTGGGATGCATCGGAATGAAAAATTATATTTTTTTCTTTACACAAACGACCAATATTTTCAATGTCTTGTATGACTCCTATTTCGTTATTAACATATATGAAGGAAGCCATTATGGTATTTGCCTTTATGCTCTTTTCTATATCTTCTAATTTTACAATTCCATTTGGTTCAGGTTTCAAATAAGTCACGTCAAATCCTTTGGTTTGTAAATATCGACACGTCTGCAGGATGCATTTGTGTTCAATTTGGGACGTAATTATATGATTTTTTTTGCTGTCTCTTTTGTTATAATAGGTGCATATTCCTATGAGGGCTAAGTTATTGCTTTCTGTGGCTCCAGAAGTAAAGATAATTTCTTTGTTGTTTTTTCCGTTTATTAAATGGAGGATGTTTTTCCTTGCATCCTCCACTGCCTTTTCAGATTCCCATCCAAAGAAATGGTTACGCGAGTGAGCGTTTCCATATATGTACGTCATGTATGGCATCATTTTGTCCAGCACTCTGGGGTCTATCATGGTGGTCGCTTGGCTGTCTAGGTAAAACCTGTTGATTTTTTTTTTGTCGCGCTCATTTGCAACGTCATCCACGTGCAAGGGGGCGCTCTCACTGTGGCTATCTCCTGATGGTTCACCATTTTTCTTCCCCACGCAGTTGTCTCCTCCTGGGTTATCCCCCCGGCTGCTATGGAACCTCCTCCTCCTCCTCCGCACGCATCCCCCCCCACTGTCGTGCAAAGTATGTTTGTTTGTGGAATCCCTAGAGGTGCATACATTTATGAGCGCTTTAAACCCCCTACTTGTCTTGTCACATTTACACAATGTTTCCAAACCATTTGTCCTTGGAATGTTCAAATTTTTTACAAGGTGGAGAAATTTCATCTTCACAGTGGTGACAAAAAAAAAATATATATATGTCAATAAAACCACAACGCCGTATGCGAATTTTTTTGCATAAGGCTGCTGGGTGAGTAATTTGGTCAAATAAGCTTCAAAAACGGATTTAAAAATTTTGGCTAATTTTACATAAAAAAAAAGGGGAATTAATTTTATGTATATATCAAATGAAGGATATAATTCCCCATGTTTTTTGCACAGCAGGGACGACAATTCTCAACTGCTGCACGATTGTACGTTGCTTAGCCACTTTAAAAAAAAAAAAAAAAAAATTAATCATTTGTGAATAATGGGGAGTCCTTTTGCGAACTGAAAAGTGTAACACGGTGTTTATCACGTCATAGCGCGTTTAAAAAAGGGGCAAAAAGAAACGTAATATACATGGGGATATATATTTAAATAAATTCCGTTTTATACAAGCGCAGGTTGTGCAAACAATATATATACACGCATATTCGAATAGTATATGAAGCAAAAATTAACGCTGGTGTTGAAGCGAAGAGAGGGAGTGAAAAACGTGACCTCATTGTGTCATTTTTACTTACAAGTTCTGCACTCCTCGAAAGTCAATTTTACGAATCACAGAAATGTGAAAAGGAAAAAATGGGAAATATGTGTCAAAAGGGGAAAAAAAAAAAAATTCTCTCTCGCGCGCTTCCTGTTCCTGCAACCTTTTTGTTTTCATTTTACACTTCCTTTGGACAAGGTTGACCAATTCCTTTTTTTCCCATATTCTTGGAATTGTGCTGCTATTGTAGAGCTCGAAAAAGGACGCACTTTGGGGTGGACACCGCGTCGCTAGGTTAATTATTCTGTAAACTATCATGGGCATTTTTGCAGACTTAAAAAAGGTAACCTTCGTGGCGTTAAAATGGGCACACATATACATACAACAGACATCTGTGTACATACTTGGGTGACGTCTTTTTAAAATTTCCCCCAGAGGGAGAAAAAAAACGGTCTCTCCGCAGAGTGGAATTGTAGGCCGGAAAAAGAAATAAAAAACGTTACTACATGAAATATCTTCACACAGGATTAAAAAGGTTTAAAAAAAAAAAAAAATGGTTCAAGAGTGAATAGTCATAAAAAATGCAAATTACACAAAAAAAAAAATGTATTATAAAAATGTTGAACAGGTTTGGCTCATTTTCAAATAGAGCAAATTGTAACGGTGAATGCATCATGCTGTTCATGCGCAAGTGGGTGTTACACACACAGGAACAACATCGTGGGAAATAGGAGACGTCTCTCCCTTTTCTTCAAATAAAATTTCACAAACGACGAATGGTCGTTGATGTGGCTCATCTACTGCGTAAAGATGGTGGAATTTCCTTCCTCTCATGACTAATTCGGTACAAAAAAAAATAAAAAAAAAGGCGCACATGTTGAATGGCCAATTTAGCTGGGAAGACTCCCCCCTTTACGGAGGTCCCCGAAAATGTCATGGGCTTGAAAAATTAAAGATATTACAGTGACGTTGACGGAATTACCAACCAATTTGTACTTTTGCCTGTTTGTCAAAAATGGTGGAAATTTAAATTCGTGACAAGAGCATGGTGCTGTTCGTTCGTCTTGGGTTTTTCCATGGGGAGATTCGCCATCGCGACACACTTCATCATTTGATGATTTCCTCATCTGAGTCTCTGCCAAATGGAGCCCTTCACTGAACAAACAAGTGTTGCTATGTCTATTAGCACAGTAGTGCACACTACATGTGTAGGCGCACATATGGTTAATGTGGTCCATGTTCCAGTATATATTTCCGACTCTGTTTTTGTTGTTTTCTCCAGCCTCTGTATTAGCCCTGCTGGTGCGCATCTTATAACCCATGAGTCTGCATATCTCTATGGGGGTAAAGTACCGTACTCTATTTTTATATTTGCTCATTTGTTTGATTATTTCTCCGTGGTGCGGTTTATCCTGGTTGGGATGTTCGCTGGAGTGCCCCTCGTGGGAGAAGTCATCGGGAGAGAAGTCATCGAGAGAGGAGTCGTCGCGCCACGGGTGGTCTGCCATGTGGGCTTTTTCCATATGCCCACTCTGTGCATGCCCCCATGCCGTTTCTCTGCCACCTGAGGGAGACCCCCTTCTGCGCTTGGAGAAGTAGAGAACCGAGCCGGATCCGTTAATATACCTCCCATAGTTAGACGTGAAGCACATGGAATGCACCCTATTGGAGTTAATCAAGTCCCTGAAGTTTCTCTCATTTGGGAGGTCCTTTATGCCTTCACTCTTCTCCACATAGTAACGACCTCCGTCGAAGCAGCACACATTTCCATTTCGGTTAATATCGATTATGTCAAAACAGAATGACGAGCATTTTGTCAGGGTACTGTTCGTAACTTCGTGTTCCTCCAATGTGTCGTTAGTTAAATTTATCTCTTCATTTGTGTTGCACGTTATTGGGTACTTTTCATTATGGTCCAAAAATGTGGCTAAGCTGGGGGTGTAAAAGGTGTACTTTTGGGAAGGCCTAAAATTTGGGTTATTTTCAAATGCGGGGATGATGCACTTGGCTGGCATAAGCGAATTGCTATAGAGTGCAGTGGTCGCTGCACTGGGGAAGCTTTCCAATGATGTGAGACGAACCAAGTTGTGCTTCCTCTTACATATACAATAAAAACGAAGACGTTCATTCGGTATGCCATACTGCAGTGGGGACAAAAGGTAGGTCTGGAAATTATAATTCTTCTTAACTGAATTTATGAAATAAAAAAAGGAAGTGGATAATTCAAAATTTCTGACATTTTCGATAAAAATATATTTTGGCAAGTTTTCTTCCTTTACCTTTTTTAGCAAATTGCAAATGTGGATGAAACTTTTTGACCGTTCGTCGTTTTCGATTTGTAGGGAGATTAAGGCTTGATCTAGGTTTAGCTTATCCACATGGTACTGGTCTTTTCCTGGGGGTGTTTCCCACAACACTTTATCGTAATCGCTTTTTTTATTTTTCCATTTGAAGGGGATGTCCTCCACACCGTTACACTTTGGGGTGACGAAGTGGGCCTTACCATTTGTACCACTGTTTTCATTCGCACCACAAGTTGAAGCGAACACATTATTTATATGATCCAATTTGTCTAAGGGGGAAGGACAACTTTCTTTTTGCTTTTTTTGTTCCCCCACAGGGGATTCCTCTTCTGCGCAGTGGGCGTACTTTTTGAACAACTCTTCCAAATTGATCTGCTGAAATTTTTTGTTCTGTCTGGTGTACGGCTGACATGGGTTCGATATTAGCAGAATGAAAAATTTATGATAATCGAGAAACTGTGCGTCCAGGTTGTTTATATCCGTTTGAAGGATGTAATTTTTATCTTCGATGAAGGGAATCTCTTTACTGTTTTTCCTCCCTCCGTTGTGTGTACCTTCGGGGGGCATCCCCGCCTGGGTGTGCCTCTCTCCTCTTTGACACTCTTTAAAAAATTTGTCGATGTATTTTTTTTGCGTCAGGTAGATCGAATTTTCCTCAAAATTGTGATAGTGTGTTTGATTCGCTAGGTAGTTCAGATCTATTGATATGAACTGAAGTGTGTCATTGAAAAGGTTTGCACAGTTGGGAACATCCGCTTTTGCAGCATCCCCTTTGAGGGTGCCTTTTTGTGTCCTCTCGTGGACGCAATTTATTAGGGCTTGTAGCATGCTGTAGTGCAGCCCCCCTATTCCACTATAAAGGTCTAACACTTTTAGGTTTCCCATGGGGCTGATTTGAATGTTGATTACTAAATGCGGTAGAACAGGAGCAACAGATATTCATGTTTCTTCCGCGTAGGTTTAGTAATACGTCTTGGCACCATCTTTCTCTTACGTAAAAAAAAAAAAAAAATGGAGTGCCCAATGTATGCTCTGTTATGTGTTCGCCACTGGGAGAGCATCTTTGGAGACGAAGCAAATATACTAGGAACCAAATGGATATATTTCCCTTAAGCCCAAGTAGAAGATGTTTCGAAATAGGCGCACTGTCGTAAGAGAACCAAAGAATTCGTAGAAGCACCCTGCGATTAACCAGTAGAGAGTGCGGGGCAGACAATTGGTCCTGCCCAAAATGGCATACTGTGTGTGCCGCGGGGTTAGTACCTCACATTAGCGCAAGAAGAAGGTCGTCCAAGAGGGAAAACTTGAAGCGACAGCGCGTGGGATTACCCTCAAAGTAATATGATAACCGATTGGCAACTTTTACAGCGAAGCGACTCCGGAACAGTCCCCTTGCCAGTGAGCTGTCGTCGCTAAAAAATTACAACCCCGTTACTCCACACTATAAACAAATTTTGTATGCACGTGGCGAACCAAATTTGCGAGAGTCCAGCTCTCCCCCCGTTTTTGAGTCAATGTGGTGCCAATTCCCCGATATGATTTTTTACTTACGCACACAGTTCACCCGCATTTCGCTGAGTTCACCGATGGAGGCACAAAGTGTAGCTGCATCAGCATTATCGTGCGGGGTGTAAATATGCGGTGCAAAAAAAAGGTGAACATGGTGAAACACAAAAGCACAAGAATAATATACTATGCTTAAACAACGTTACGTCGTATGAGAGGCCATACATAAAACTATAAAAAAAAAAAAAAAAAAAAAAAAAAATTCAAGCGAAGGTACGCATATGTATGGATATATGACTACTCTGGAGCTCTCTATTGTTTCTTCACTTTATCATTTTTTTCCATTGGCTCATTCTAGGAGGCATACCTTATCTCCCTTGCTGATGCGCTAAATAACTACTTACAGGCGTTCGCTAGAAAAACGAGTCACCAAGCGCAAACTGAACAAGCACGAACTTTTTTATAGTTGTGGCTCAGCCTTCGCACATATAGCCCAAAAGAATCGCACCGTTGCCGCCTCAACTGCTTGATCTGATACCCTTCCCCTTCGAATCGAAAAAATGTTCTCAACCAGGTAGCACACGATTGGGGAGATAGCCAACGGGACGGCAGCACATACACTCGTATGAATGCTTACAGACTTTTCCTTAGCTTTTAAGTCCGATTACTATAGAGTAGCACATTTGGATACGCATCCTATGTTACACATTTGCCTTGCTCACCTCTGTGTTTTTTCACTTTTTCGTGCACTTTTAGGAGCGAGTATGACCGGGGAGTAAACACCTTTTCGCCAGAAGGCAGACTTTTTCAAGTGGAGTACGCGCTGGGCGCTATAAAGGTAGGTGTAAAAGGAGGGGAGAAAAAAAAAAAAAAAAAAAAAAAAGAAGAAAAGTGTCAGATGGGATGGTATATGTGAGATGAGGCCACCAGGGGCGTAGACCTGATTTGCACAATTTTGAAACATGTGCACATAGAGTGTAGCCGAGTTAAGGAATGCCCCCCCAGTTGGGCAGCTAACTCGGTTTGTGCGGCCCAAGGCTATGCATTTTGTACACCCCTCCTCTCCCCTTATTTGACAGCTGGGCAGCACGGCAGTGGGTATCTGCGTGAACGATGGAGTAATTTTGGCTTCGGAAAGAAGAATCGCCTCTGCATTAATAGAAAAACATTCAGTGGAGAAGCTGCTACCGATAGATGACCACATAGGATGTGCCATGAGTGGACTCATGGCCGACGCAAGGACGCTCATAGACTACGCAAGGGTTGAGTGTAATCACTACAAATTCATATATAATGAAAATATAAATATAAAATCCTGTGTAGAATTAATATCGGAGTTAGCATTAGATTTTTCTAACTTGTCCGACAATAAAAGGAAGAAAATTATGAGCAGACCATTTGGAGTTGCCTTACTGATCGGAGGGGTGGATAAGAATGGCCCTTGTCTTTGGTACACGGAACCGTCTGGAACGAACACTAGATTTTTAGCTGCTTCCATTGGGTCTGCTCAAGAAGGGGCCGAATTATTGCTACAAGAAAATTACAATAAAAATATGACCTTTGAGGAAGCTGAGATTTTGGCGCTCACTGTTTTGAGGCAAGTGATGGAGGATAAGCTTTCTTCCTCCAACGTGGAAATTGCCGCTGTGAAGAAGTCTGACCAGACGTTTTACAAGTACAATACGGAGGACATCTCCAGGATCATCGAGGCACTTCCATCGCCCATCTACCCGACGATCGACATGACGACCTAGGTCGGGGGAACAGGTGAATAAGTGTAAAGGTGCAGAGCGGCACCAAAGAGCATGGCCCTGCGGGGTGAAAGAAACTTTGCGGGCGCGCTTCCTTAACTGGGCGAGTCCAGAAGGGAGATGTTATGTAACAAGTGGACACGTGTTCCACTGCGTCGGTTGGCCATTTGACCACTTTGCCATTGTATCCATTCATTGTTATTTTATTTTATTTTTCTTTTTTTTTTGCAAAAAAATGCCCCATTTCGCGCTTGCGTAAGAACATTCATAACGTGTGCTGCTGTCCAACTTGACAGTTTTTTTAATTTTTTTAAAAAGTGCATATTTTGAAATTGCACTGCGGGAAGGGATATTTAGGGTTCATGGACGACACCTCTTGTTATTCATAGTTATTGTGGTACTATTTGTGTTATGTCTTTAAGGAGTCCCTCGCGTGGGTGTTAAGTGCGCCGTAAAGAAGTTACAAACATGGGAGGTGAGGGGAAAAGGAAAAATGTGGGCATTTCCTGGCGCGCACGAAGTGAACGAAATTGCAGCACGAAATGTGTGTATATGCGTGTATGTACACAAATATATGTGTGTATATATAGGTACGCCTTTGAACGGCGTGCTTCTCTACACAGTGGCCGGTGGAGTTGCCCCGTTTTTTTCCCCAACCCGTTCGCGGCGCACATCACACCAGTATGAATGGATTGTGAATATCTTTAGCTAGTTGTGTGGACTTGACAAAATCGTCATAACTAATTTTATAATGCTTCATAAAATCTTTGTTGGACGTTTGCAGAAGCATTTTCAAATTTATCGGTGGGATGTTGGGTTTATAAACCAATTCGTTAAACTTTTTATTAAAGTCATTATAATTGTGTATCCTCACCAACTCCTTGTAGTAACTGATATAATTATCATAGTATAAATTCATGTAGGCTACATGCCTGGGGATTATTCTTAAGCGGAAGCTGTAACTAAAATATTGTGGAAAGGACAGAGTATCTCGAAAGGATTTATTCATATGTCTAATTAGGTATAACAGTTTTGGTCTGATGGTTCTGTACACATTGTAGGTGAATATCCTTGGGTAGATTTTAATAAATGTTTTTAAATCTTCCTCTTCTATGGTCTCATGGAGGTGTAGCAATTCTTTATATTTTTTTTTTAAATTTCCAAAGGCATAAAATTGTGGGAGATTATACAAAATATGTACCAATTCTTCGTGGTTATATTTTAACTCATTTTTGTAATGAGCTATCCTTTTGAGGATGGTATTTTTATTTACTAAAGATAACCTCGGAGATATTTTAATAATTTTTTTTATCATTTCTAAGTTCAGTCCCTTTTTCAGCACTTGGTTCGTTGTTATTATTTCCTCTCCCTTTGCGTTAAAATTTATTTCTTCTTTTTTTATTGTATTTTTTTTCTCATGGCATTTTTCGAAAAAGCATTTTAACTCTTCTGCCGTCTTGAAGTGGTTCATAAAAAAAAATTCAACATCATCGTAGTGTTTTAGGAAGTAGTCGAATTTGTCCTCCAGGGGGGAAGCCTCGCTTATGCTGTTTATGGAGATGTCAGGCGTAGCTATGTCTTCGGCTTCTTCACTAGCAATTTCGTCCTCGGAGGTTTTGCCGTCTGCACTGTCCTCATTCGCGGTTGCTTCATCGATGCTTTCTTCATGCACAGTTCCCGCATCCATGCTTTCTTCATTCACAGCTGCTTCATCAGAAGTCGTTACACCCCCGTCCGCGTCGCCCACGGAGGAAGCCCCCGCCCTTGCAATATAGGCCTTCCGGCGCTCCTCCCTCTGGCGCTTCCGTTCCTCCTTTCTCAACTTCTTCCTTTGCCGTATGCTCAGGCGCACCTCGCCGTCATCCCCCATGTTCTTGTACTTGTCCATCTGCATAAAATCAACGGTGTCCTTGTTTCGAATAAAATAGTTAATGGCCTTTTCTAGGTTCCCGAAAATGAGGAAAAAAACAGCCGACTGATCATGACACTCGGGAAAAAAAAAAAAACGAACATCTATGTTAAGAAATCTGAAGATAGAATAAATATCGAAATTAAAATAATCCTTTGCTTTCAACTTATTTACAATGTTCAGGAAAAAGTTTTTATCCTTCTGTAACATGGCTAGTAGGTTTTCTTTATATCCTATAGCATAATTCTCGTAGCTTTTTAATTCTTCATTATTTTTTTTGGCCAACTTGGATAATCTCATAAATTTACAGTTAAAATTTTTTAATCGATATTGTAATGCCCATTTGAATGCGTTCAGAAATCTGTCTGGGACTTGATCAATTATTTCGTTCTCTTTTCCGTGGAAATCACTCCCCAGTATTGTGTTGTCTACTTTTTTTACCGTCCTCAGATTGTCCATGTATTTCTTTGTCTTAGCGAACAGCTGGGTTTCCCTTCGCCCAAGTTCCAGGCGTGTGTAGGGGGGTGGTGCGCTGGATGCGGTGCAGTCGGAAGGGGGCCCCTCGCACAGAGCATTGTCAAGCGATCTGCCAAGCGAACCGTATTGCGGGGCTCTCAAATAAAATAACTCCCCTTTGCGTCTTTCCCCCTTGTACACCCTTACCACGCGCACAGCACGGACAACCTCTGGGGATTTAAATGGGCCCCCATTCTGGCTGTTAACCTTGTCTTTATCCTTCCTCATGATGTTGCCACATAAAATATTTGCGCGCCTAACGTAACATGAGAATGTGTTCAATTTTGTAATTACTAGTAGGAGGAAAATGTATTTATTCATTTCTTTGGGGGTTCTTCTAACTCATTTGGAGGGCTCACAAAACTATGCTCTTGTTTAAATGGCTCAAGAGTTACAAAAAAAAAAAAAAAAAAAACGCAAGGGCAGGGATGCGCCAAAGCCAAGGAATTCCAATCCAGAGGGGAACAATACACAATCAAAAAAAACTACTCGTCACATTATTTTACAAAAAAAAAAAAAAACAAAAAAAGTGTAAGATCTAATGCTCAAGGGCGAAAATGAAGCCTAAGGTGATAACCCCTCCAATAGAATGCATCACAAGAAGAGGCAACAAAAACAATGAGTGTATATGAAACAGAAAGAGAAATATACCAAAGCGGAATGTCAAATATGAATGTTCAAAATGGGAAAGCTTCCGGAATTTGAAAGATGTGAAAAAGCAAATGTGTGTGCTGTCACATTTGCTTTCTGTTTAGAAGCGGTGGAGGCAAAGTACAACACTTGAATGGGGGGAAAGAAAAACAAAAAAAAAAAAAAAAAAAAACATTTCGTCATATGTGTATGTGTCCACGCGAAGGCGTACAATCTGAAAGCTATCACATTCGTGAAATTAAAAACCCTGCATGCCGCTACTGCAGAGCATGTGAAAATGTTTAAGTTCCCTATTTTATGTGATCCAAAGAATAGTAAGAATAAATGGCAAAGGTATTTGCACCACCTCAGGTCATAAACTAGCTTGTGGAAAGTTTTCCAAAATGTGAGTATTCACAAAAGTGACAGACTTCATGGGGCAGAACGGCGAGTCGATCCTACGCTCCGCGTTACCATGCGGTGCACATGATCGGTGCGATAAACGGGCAAAGGGTATTTACATCTCCGCGTACCTATCTGTTGTGCCGTTACTGGGGGGTATGCACAAATTGCCCCATGGGGGGAGCGATACGGATGCGGTTCACGAAGTGGCAGGGAAAAGTGAAACGAAGAGGTGAAGCACAAAGGTGTAGGAAAAAAAAATGTACAAAAAAAAAAAAAAAAAAAAAATGTAGATAAAACAGAGTAGCAAAAATACAGAAGCGAAAATATAGGAGAAAAACAATACCGCTGCACCTTAACATGTGGGGGGACAAGTGAAAGCCCCACACTCCGATTACACGAAGATTGTTCTACACGCGGAGTACGCCGCACCCGGTGGTGGGAAAATGCTCAAGTACGCACGCAAGCTAAATAAAAAGCTGATTTACAAGCTACATGTACAAAATGACAAAGTTGTAGAGATGCCCATGTTTCTGGTGGACAATCTGTATTTGAGGAACACAAAGGAGTTACTTATTCTGTTAAACAATGCCATAACATTCAACAGGAAAGAGTTTTTGGAAAACTACAAGAGGGTATTACTAATAGATAGAGAGAGCAATGCCAAAAGTTTTGATCAGGCGCAGAGGAGGGAAGAGAAAAATGGATCTAAATGTGATGCATTTGTTGCGCAGGAATGCACACCACCTCATACTAGTCAGTCCCTTTTTGAGGGTGAAGTGAATGGTGGAGCTGACCTAAATGCCCATCAGGGACACCTGCTGGAGAGCCACCCAGAGACGATGCAAGCGGGTTATATTTTAAAAAATGGACACATGTCACCAGATGGCCGTAGGAGCCTCTACAAATACGACAATGAAGAGTACGACGAGTTAATTACTCACTTATCGGAAGTGTGTGAGGATAAATGCGACTCAAATATATTCGAAGAGTACGAAGTGAAAGATGTGTATGAGGCAGACGAAGGGGAAGAAGCGCAGGAAGCGCATGAAGAGGACCCCCCAGGGCAGGAATATTCACTAATTGGATACCTACCAAATGAGTTTTTTTTCCAATCCCTCAAACAGAGAGTAGTGTCTCTGAAAGAGTACCTCTCCTTTAGTGACCTCTTCTCGTTTATCCATCTGTTCAGTCGAATGAACGACATAGATATGATAAAAATCCTGGGGGAGCAGTACATGCAGAAGCAAGAGAAAGAAAAGGACAAGCGGGTTAATAACAATCAAGTGGTGCATTTACTAAATATATTCCTCAAATTGAATTACAAAAGGAACAACACTCATCATATTGTTGACAGTCTGGTGCGAAGCATGAATCTAAACGTTTGGACTCATGACTTGAAACTTGCAGCACTAGGCTTTTCATGCATGTCTAGATTGAACCTGTATAATATGGCCTTTTATCGCTACGTGGATACCTTCATGAGTAACTTGGATAAATGTTCTCATTTGTGCTGTTCCATTGTACTTCACTGCTTGGGCTACTATAAGCACTATTGGGCTACAAAGAAGAGGGAGCTGTTGGAGCAGGCTAGGATTGTTAGGAACTCAGCGGGTGGTCAATTCGTGGGGACACAGTCTCCTCCAGGGTGCGATGTCTCTGGTCAAGCTGATCGGACAATCACAATACCCTGCACAAATGTTAATCGCCTATCCCTTCAGCTGCATAGAGAAAACGCGCACCTGATTGAAGAGCTGGAGAAGGGAATGATCAACCAGTTGTTGAATATGGAGTTGGGGTCCATTTCAGAGAAATCGATCAGTAGCATATTTCATTTTTTCTTTCTGTCAAAAAGGGGCGTCTTAACTGCGGACGCGGGTGGGAGTAGCAACCATGGCGAGAACCCCAACGAAAGAGACCACCTCCTATTGGGGAAGTTGGTCCACATTTTGATTACGAAGAGAGTAAACTTCGATCAACCGAGGCGATTGCTCATGTGTTGCTACCCCTTGATCATACACAGGTATTTTTCCAACATACAAATATCGTCCTATTTCGTGGTGCAGTGCGCTAAACTGATCAAGCGCCTCAAGGAGAAGAAGCACCTGGACAATTTGCTCTTTGTGTTAACAGGTTTCACGCAAAATCAGATTATATTTTACCAAAACAAGAGCAACAACAGAACGGCACCGAGAATATATTTGGACAAGAAAAAAAACAAATTGCACAATTTTAAGATTGAAAATAAGTACATTGATATGTTGGAGAAGTGTGAGTATGAAGTGAATGTGCTCGAGAAGGGACCTACAGAAGAGCCCGTCAGTTGCAGGTCAGCTATTCTATATATCTTTAGCGAGTTAACCAGCATAAATTACGAATTGAATAAAGACCAGATTGTTCTGTACTTACAACTGTTCTCCAGTTTTGACATCAAATTAAGTACGGACATTAAGAAGAAGTTATTTCGTTTAGTAATGGACTCCACAAATCAGTTAAGCAATTTAGTCCATGTGATACTTCAGCTATGCATTAAGATTTATGGCATTTCTAGCACCTACATGAAGACAATCGCTTTGCAGTTTTTTGAAAAAATGGACCACGAGTTGGGCACTGTACACAAATTAGGAACAACTAATGAAGAGCTTTTTATTAGCCGAATAATTAGTGGCCATGAAAATGATAGGGTTATGGAGAAGTATTCCTATCTGTGCGATTTAGAAAAACTGTCTGACATTCTTTTCGTATTCGACCAGATAGATATTCATAACAAGGACTTCATAATGAACATGTCAAATTTGCTTTGTGCGAATAATTTCTTCCTTCTAACGCATCGAAGGAGTAACTTCAGCTCGTTCGTCCATCTGGTGCACTATGTAGGCAGCTTACCAGTGGACATAGATTCGATTAAAAAATTGACCAACTTTGTTTTCACATGTGTGGCGGAGTATGTGGATTCATCATACAGGAAACATGTACAGCGCACACAGGGAGGACACAAAATGGAAGAACATAAGGTGGTGAATGGGTCTTCTCAAGAGGTTAATATCTCTCTCCGTGATGATCACCATACAAGTAGTTCCTCCCAAATGGAGGAGGATCCCTCTTTTTGCGAAGTGGACCATGCTTTCATAAAAGGCAAAATTTACCTGAAGGATTTGATATTTTTACTGGATGCTATTCGTATTTGCAAGGCTTACGATTTTGTTTCTCTGCTCAGAAGCGTGAGCAACATGGTAGGGGAGCGCACGCATGTGTGCACGTCTGCGGGCATATGTCTGTACATTTTCCTCCACACATATTCCACTACACATTTGCCAACGCTACATGTCCCCTTTCCCGGCAGATAAATTCGGAGGGGATACAAGCTCTCTCCGATGAGGACGTGGAACTGGTGAACTACATTTTCATCGACATGGGTCTGATGAACAAGTGCTTGCTGGACGAGGCAAGGTAACACCGCGGTGCGCGCAAAAAGGGCGAGCGTTAAAAAAGAGGTTTGAAAATGATGCGAAACTTTGATTACAAAAGGTGCGCCTTTGGGCCAATCCCGCTAACCGCCTTTCTTCTCTACCCCTTCAATTCAGGCGCCGGGGACTCGCCATCGGAATGAACTCGTGACGACGCGCACGCAGGTATACGCGAGTAAACGAAAAAACACAACAGTACAGGAGAGTACATGAAATAAAATTTATATTGGCACACGTGTGCAAAATGGCAAGACATGTATGATGCAAGTCGTGCGTGCATCCTGTGAAGCGTTCCCGTGGCCCCTTTGGGAAAAGTCATATGGAAGACAGCTATGCGAAGCGTAGGAAACAGAACTAGCCCTTTTCCAAGGCGCATAACAGACTTAAATTTCGCTCAAATATATTTTTGCAGTACTCATCGCAGTTGTCCTCTCTCATGCTGAACAAATCGTATTCTCTGTAGTTTACAATGACATTCCATAGATGTTCCTTTGCAATGTATTTTTTTAATCGTCTTATGAAGACTGTGCAGATAATATTTTTCAATTTGTAGCTTTCCAAAAACATTTTTTTTATTTTAAAAATCCTGAAGAGAAAAAGGAAAGATTCTGTGTAGCAGCTGAGCTCTAGCAAAACCAAGCTGAGAAGGAAGTTCCCCCAAAGGTGATGATTATTCAGATTAATGGTTAACTTAATGCAGTTAAAGAAATCATATATCCACTTCGTTTTGTACACACTAGAATTTAAAAAGGGGATCTTTTCCACTATATGTTTTTCCTTATCACTTAGTGAGAACCAATAATCTTCATACCGTGTCCCATTTTTATTCCTTTCGATTTTGAGATTACTAGAATTTTCCACTGAGCATATTTTTTCCTTTTTGTTCTCTAAAATGTAATTCCTCTGTTTTGTGTTAGCTTCATTTGTTTCCTTTTCTTCTACCTGTTTATTTGCATCCACTTTGGTAGGAGCGGTGTGCTCATTATTTGTTGCCTCAAATTTGTCCAGCTCACTTAGGTAGACGTAGCTGCATGGACTGGATCCCAAATCGAAGATGAAATAATGTTTTAAAAAGTTGTAGTAGTTACTATTTTTTTTGTATATTTCTAAAGCTTCCATAAATTTCTGCTGAGACCAAATTAAATTCTGCTTCCTCGTCGTCACATTTCCAATGTGTGTTTGGACAAAATTATTTCTAAAATTGAACTCAATTAGGGATGACAAATGGGGAAGATTTAGGAAAAGATATTTTTCCTTATATTTCACATTTTCTTTGCTCATAAATCTTTTGCAGGTAAATAGGAGGACATCCATGCGGCTTAGCAACATACTGTCTACCTGACTGGGTGATATGTTTTTTCCCCATTGTTTTTGGCCGATTAAACTGTTTACACTTAGTTCGGTCGACAGGAACCCTAACTTGTCATTTTTTATGTGATCATCATGCCCCTTCCACTTCAGTGTTAGGAAGAAGTGAAAGTGGTACTTTTCAAGGACGTCTTCAAAATGAGAGCGGATATATTCTCTATCGTCGAATATTCTGGCTCGTATATTCATGCCTACAAACCTGTCTAGGTTTTCTTCTAGACGGAGGCCCTGCATGTCCAGGCTGTCCACAAATTGGAACTTGCTGATAAATTGGAAGGGCAAGCAGGCATACACGTGGTGGTCGCCTGGTCTGCTTGACTCGTTTGTACTGCATGACCCAATTGATCCGCTCCTTCCCCCACCGTCAGGACCCTCGCCGCTGCTCCCATCTGGGTCATTCCTAACCGAAAAAAGTCTAACGTGAAAAAACTTGTGCTTTGAATCGGCCTTATAAATCCATCCCTTCACAATTGAATCGGCATTTATGTTTTGCAAAAATTCTGTCTTTCCTTCCTTTCCGAATATTATTCGTCTTTTACATTTCGCCAGGTCCCTTTTTTCATTTCCCCCACCTATTTCGTCAATCACAAATACGCTACCTGCACTGTGGGTGCGTCGGTTGGTGCTCACGCATCCGTAGTTTATGTAAAATGCCTCATCCGCAAAGGGGACGAGCGAAATGTCGCAGAAGCCAAGGTGATCGTTGTTGTCCACTTCAACTTGGACGCATTTCTTTATGTCTCCATTTTCACTGGAGTGGCTACTCCCGTGGGATCGGTTGCTGCTATTGGAGTGGCTTCTACTGCATCTATTTGTTTCATCACTCCTTCCGTTCCCACTGCTAACTTCACTAAATTCTCGCTCGTTAGGGTCTCCCCCTTTGTCCCGTCTCCCCGCGCCTTCCCACACCTTTGCTCGTTTCGCATTAGCCCCCTTGTCCGAGTACTTCCCTCTGTGGAGGGTCTTCCCAATCATCTTTGCGCCCGTTTCGTAGTACTTTCTGCTTCTCTTCCCGATTCGGCTGCGCCTGTCACTTGGGGTTACACGCGGGTTGCTACGTGCCTTACTACGAGGACTACTATGAGGGGTACTACTCTGAGCAGCACTGGCATCTCCCCCAACACTGCCAATCACATCGCTACCCACACATGCAATCACATTTCCACCTGTACTATCACTAGCCCAGCCGTTGTCCCACCCAAGTGCATTGCCCGCATCCCCAACGCTTTCCCGTTTATGGGGCCTCCTGGCGACTACGTTGGTGGGTGTGACTGCTCTGACCGCATTAATTTCACTGACAAGCCCCTCCCCATCTGAATGTTCACCCCGGGAAGTGCTGCCCACGGCGTACCTCTCCATGGCCGCCTGGACCAAAGAGGAACTCACATAATTGCTATCAATATAATCATAATACCCATTTGTGAATGGGCTATAGTTATTTAAAAATAATTTACATATACAACTGATTCTGTTTTTTTGTTCTAACAAATTGAATGACGTCTCCATTTCTGTCACGAAGGAGTTGCATACATCCTTTGTGTCATTTGGGACTTTCCCATTTTGACAAGAAGAATATAAGCTTTCTCTTCCCCTTTGTGGTTCTTCCTTTTTTTTACTATAAAAAAAATCATCAGTGTATTTTCGAAATAGTGGGAACTCATTCTTTAATTCTTCTATGAACTGTTGATATGCATTTTGTTCTTTGCATTTCATTTTGTTTTCGCTTTTGTAAACTTTGTTCTGTTTGGGGTGGACGGGGTGATCTTCTATTAATCTTGGCTGCTGTGTGCACACAGGGCGGACAGAATTATCTCCACAGGAGACGGCAGCAAGCAAACGCGAAACGAAACAAGAAGTAACCAATTCAGGACAAAACAAACGAATGCGTAATCACACGAATGGGAAAACAAAAAAAAAAAAAAAATGAAAAAACAAACAAATGTATAAAACAAACAAAACACGAAAACAAATGAAACACCAAAACAAACGAATGGCAAGCAAACGGTTCTTTCAAGTGCCTATATAAGGAAGGGGTGGATACTAAAACAAATGGGTCAAGTGTGTGCGGAGGACACTCACACCATTGTTCGGTGAGTCAAACGAGTGAATTGAATTAGTCTGGTGGGGGAAGCGGTTGCCAGGTAGCGACTAATAAATTGTCCAATTAACGATCCGTTCACTGTGTTTGGCCCAATTTTGCAACAGGCGAGTGCATTGCCAGAACCGCCGACGCAACGGAGTGTGAACCGGAGGCTTCGTACGTATAGGGACGTAAAGGCAATGGCACATTCTTACTAGGAATGTATCTTGTAAAAGGAAATAAGGCGGACGGATTTACATATGCGATTTGGGGGTGAGTCTCATAAAGGAATGGCTCGTATTACCACCTCATTGATCGATTCATTTTTCTCCAACCTGTCATCTTGTAACACCCGCGCCGCGTGCTTCTTGATCATGTTCCGTTGTTTTTCCTACACAAAATATATTTTTATAATTTATTGTTTTTCCCCTCGTTGATACTCCTCCTGGGTTGTTTGCATGTTGTGTATATCACTTGCACACAATTTAGGAAATAAAATATAATGATGTATAACAGAATGCCGAAGCAGCAACTCTGGCAATGGGGGAGTGAGAACTGATACGCCTGTTTCTTCAAGGTATCCTTTCACACTTGTCACAATGTGCATACAGATTTGTGAGATAAACAACTAATGCATCAAAAGGGAGAAAAAAAAAAAAAAAAAAAAAAAAAAAAAAAAAAAAAAAAAAAAAAAAAAAAAAAAAACAGCGATAAATTGGAACAAAGTGTAATCCATTTGTGTTAAAAATGAAAATAGAAATTTCAGCAACGGTTAGAAGAGGAACGCAACAGGGACCTGTACAGGCATATGCACATACGTATGAAATGCACTAATACACTTGCTAATACAGTTATTTCCCTTTCGTGAGCGCTGTTTCTTCCACTATGCGGGAAAAAAAATGTTCACTGTTCAGGTGTGGGCAACGGTAGTAATAAAAAAAAAAAAAAAAAAACGATTGCTCTTATTAGCAAATTCCATTCTATGGGTGGATATAAATGGGATAAGCTAATTTGTGAACTATGGTATTATACTCTCTCCCACCTGAACGCTTAAGGACATCCTGCAAAGTGTAAAGGCCTAGGGGCTAATATAAAATTGTTTATGGTGTTCGTGCCCTTGGCGCTGCAGCGCGAACTATGAAAATTTTATATGGAGCCGTGGGCGCTAGGTGAAAAAGGGCTAGCAAATAAGATCTGAAGAAGATTCGCAGGCGTAGGGTGCCGTGAAAAAAAAAAAAAAATAATAAATAACATAATGAGCCATGAACAAAAGCACAAGATAACCACAAACGCATACTCAAGCATATATACACGCATTACCTATGAAGTGCCATTCGAACAGCTTTCTTCTCAAAGGCTTAGCGATGAAGGCAACAAGCACGCACGCGTGAGCTACAAAGTGTACAGCATGTATAATCGCATTCTTTTGTTAGCCATAGGAAGGAGGCAAGATTTTCACTCCACAAAATAGAGAATTGTCAAGCGGGCTTTTCTTAATTTTCATTTTGAGTAATTAGCACGTGGTGCCAGGAAACGCCAACTTGACAGGAATAAACATCAAAACATTTGCAGTAAAAATTGTATAAGGAGTTTTTTTTTTTTTTTTTTTTGTTTTTTTTGTTCGTAGAGATTGCATTTTTACACAATTGTTTTTATGTACAGTATCATATTTGCGCAGGGCACACATAAGTAGGGCTAAATAGTATTGGTGGGGAAATTTTGTAATATTGTCCCCCCCCCTGCGCCCTTTTTTTTTTTTTTTTTTTTTGGTACATTTGTGCAACTTTTGTTCTGCACCTCACCCTTTGGAAGGCTAGTCTGATCCATCCACATGTTTATGCCAGTGCCTTGGACAGGATCCCTCAGAAAATAAAAGCACAACACACCATCTATGACACAGGACCCATATAAAAAAGTGTAGGAGATATTTCCCAGCATCTATACACGTGTAAGCATATACTTATGCATACATACAATCATATGCACGTGTGTTCACGGAAGCTAGCGGGACGGAAAGATGAAACATAAGTACCATGTGCTGATTTATAGAAAGAAGAAAACGCATTTTAGGTTAGATGTGCTGCTGTTCTTCTTCTACGCCGTTTTTCTCCACTTGATTTTAAATAATGAGAAATTTCAAGCGACGCCGGGTGATTATGAGTATTTAGCGAAATTGCAAAATGAGGTGGAAGAGGAAGTTATGTTTGGCCTGCAAGGCGACCATCCCAATGGCGAGTTCAAAGTGGGGACGAGTGGAAGGAAAGACAGTAGCGAGTTCATAAATTGGAAGGGAAGTGCAAATGGGGAACAAAAAGACTCCAACAAAAAGGAAAAGGAAAACACATTCAAGCCGATCATAATAGGAAAGTACAATCTGATCTACGTGTTCTACAGCATCGAATTTGTTGGTTTACTTTTATTTATTCTTTTCCACCTGCTAACGTTTCTGTTATCGCAGTGGAACTTGAGCGTTAACTTAGTGGTTTCCTTTAGTCGGCTAAACAGCAGTGACAAGGACAAGTACTTATATAACGTACAAAACAAATGCACGCATGTGTATATTAAGCCACTCGTTAAGAGAAATGACAAGTCAGCAGTAAACAGCAAAGAGAGGTTTAACACGGATTACAACTTGTACAAGCCTAAATCAGAGTTAGTTCCACTGAAAAGGGGAAAAAATTATACATTTTTTTTTTACAAACAGAAAAAATATATTTTCAATTATGAAACATTGGATTTCGAATCAGTAAAACATTTTGATAATTTTAATTTGTCCTTTTATCAAAAGTGGAAAGGACTCATCGAATATCAAATGGGAGATCTCTACCATGATGAAAACACCAGAATAACATTGCGAGGGATAGAAGAAAATGTAAAAAACATACAGAAGAGGAGAGGCAATGTGAGTATCCTGTTTTGCCAATTGGATGGTTTATATCTAGATAAAGGTGGACTAAGCGGAATGGCCCAATTAGCACGCCGGAACAAAGGGGAGAATAACATATATGGGGAAGAGATAGAAGATGTTTATCAGTATAATAGGAAAGGAAGGGGATGCGCAGAAGGGACAAAGGTACTACACTCTATTGAAGGGAGTACCACGATACAAAGTTCGATTGAGGGGGACGAACTAAAAGTCAAAAACAGGGTGCATCCCACTCAGGGGAAAAGCAAACAATATGGAAATCAAAGAGACTCTTTTCTTTCGTATTATAAAAAGAGCAATTTTGAAATTCCCTACGACATTTTTGTACATAACAATTTGGACAAATATGGAGAAAATATATACGACATTCCATCCCCCTGTTTTAAGAAGCTACTTTATGAGGCCATGCTATCCCCATTTTTTATTTTTCAATTCTTTAGCATCCTGTTGTGGATGCTAGACAGCTATTGGTACTTTGGCATTTTCTCCATTTTCATATTAGTGATGCTGGAAGGTCAACTGATTAATAAACGAATAAGAGAGTTCAATTTGATAAACAGTATGAAGGTTCCTGCTCAAAATATATATGTGTATCGAAATTTGCAGTGGAAAATTATCAAATCGAGCATGTTACTTCCTGGGGACATATACATTTTATCGAATGAGTCTAGTGGTGGTGATAATGTGTGTACGTGTGAAACGTTGTTGTTGGAGGGAGTTTGCATTACGGATGAATCGATCCTGACTGGGGAGTCTATACCCTTGATTAAGGCAGCTATTGATAAGACGGAAGAGGAGGAATACGTTGAGCAGGATGCCAGTGATAATGATACCTGTGCAGATTGGGGAGGAGAAGGAGACGCCATGAGCGGGGTATCACCTATGGAAGGAATCAAAGGAAGATCCATTTTTACAAACAAAATTGATATAAAGAATAAACACAAAAAACATGTGGTGTATGCCGGCTCGAAGATTTTACTAACAAAAAATGAAAATGATGAATTTAATAATATGAAGCTACCCATTAATGGGTGCGTAGGTATTGTACTGAAAAATGGATTCACCACCTATCAAGGAAAGTTAGTGAGGACGATCATTAACACATCAGAGAAGGTGAACTCGTCAAGCATGGATTCGATTATCTTCCTTTTCATCCTTCTGTTGTTTTCATTATCGTCATGCGCGTACGTAGTTTACGCTGTATTGCAATCAACTCAAGAAAGAAATTTGTACAAACTGCTTCTATCCGTTTCGCATATAATTACTGCAGTCATCCCACCAGAGTTTCCAATAACCCTGTCGTTGGGAGTCACCATTTCGATAGTCTATCTGTACAACTTAAAGATCTACTGTACGGAACCTTTTAGGTTGCCATTTTCTGGAAAATCGAATATATGTGCTTTTGACAAGACGGGAACCCTAACCGAGGACAATATGATAGTGTTGGGACTCTTCGGGTTTGACCAGAACACAGACAGGATAAACGAAATTAACGAATCCATTATTAGCAAGCAGAGGTTGCCTTTCCTTTCCGTGGCAGTTATCGCGGGATGTCATTCGATATGCACCGTTAACAATAAGCTGCTAGGGGACCCGCTGGAAAAGAATTCCTTCGAAAGGTTGAAGTGCATGATGAGGAGTCTAGACAAAACGTACGTTTATACGAATAATTATCAGAATGCTGCAGGTGCGACAACAACTACGACTGCACAGAGCAGCGGAGAAAAAGGGGGTTTATCCATGGGTATGTTTTTGAAGAAGTCATCCAACACGTCGGTTAACGAAAAGAAAAGCCCATGTGTGGAAAACTTCCAAATTTATAAGAGGTTCTTCTTCTCCTCCGAGTTACAAAGAATGACTTGCATCATTTTGCACGAAGGGTATGAGGGCGACTGGTATGGGGAAGAGTTCGAAGAGGTCACGGACCCTGCTACATGTATGAGCAGCTCTAACGGGGATATAAGTGCGTGTACTGAAAATTTGACAACGCTAGAAGGTTTAAAGAAGAAGAAGAAAAAAAATGACAGTAGCAAAAATGAACCGGTTAAACAGTACCTTGCGGTTAGTAAGGGATCCCCAGAAATGATGAAAAAATTTTTAAAAAAAATTCCCCCAAATTATGACCAAGTGTTGAACAGCTTATCCATTAAGGGTTACCGTGTGATATGTCTAGCTGCGAATGTGTTGGACAACAAGGTAGTTTCCAAAAATGTTAAAAGGGAAGACGTAGAGAAGGACTTACATTTCTGTGGCTTCCTCACTTTCATATGCCCAATCAAAGCGTCCACCCCGCGTTACATCCTTGATATTAAGCAGGCGGGAATTAAAAATGTGATGATAACAGGAGATAATGCGTTGACTGCGTGTCAAGTTTCGCAGGATGTTAACATTGTCCCGTCAATAAAGATTAAGGACATACTAATTTTAAAGCTTAGGGAAGATTACGCCGTACACGGGAAGAGGGCACTCGTAGGTGGGAAGGGTCCATGGACCAGTTTGACAAACGAGGGAGATATATTTAGCATTTACGAGCGCGAAAGCGCAATCGATCTGATACGAAACCTCCCCCTGCAAAACAAATCCCAACAGAACGCAGCTGAGAAATTAATCAAAATGATGAAGGAGGGAAGGAACGTGAGCAACGTGGTGTACTTTATCAATAGGAAAAATAAAAAAATGCTTCCATTTATAGAATGTGAGGAGTACATAAAATTGTGTGAAGAACTTTTTACCCTCTGCATTACAGGAGATATAATCGAACATTTTTTGAGCAGGTATCAGAACGACTTGGCTTTATTTGACGAGCTGATAAAAAGAGGGTTGATATTTTGTAGAGTGTCTCCAAAGAATAAAGAAATAATTATAAAAACATTGAACAAGTTAGGGAACATAACCATTATGTGTGGTGACGGGACGAATGACATGGCGGCGCTGAAGGCTGCACACGTTGGAGTATCCTTACTGAGCATAAAAATAAGTTACAAAAGTGGTAGAGCACATGGTGGCCATGCGAATATGGATAGACACTTGAATGCAGGACGCATGAATGCGCTCGTGGATGGTCCCCATGTGGGCGGCTACCCTTGCGATTTCAGCGGAGGGGCGAGCAGGAACTACGAGCAGCGTTTGAGAGCTGCGTATGACAAGTTAAATGCGCAGTACAACGCGGCGTCTGCAAGTGGAGGAAGTAACATGGCAAATGCTAAGTATTACGAACAAATGAAATTGTACAATGAGAGGAAAAGGCAATTGGAGAATATGATGCAATCAATGGACGACTCCTTACCTCTAATTAAGTTGGGAGAAGCAAGCATAGCATCTCCATTTACATACAAAGGAAACGACATAAAATGCGTGAAGGAAATTATTTGCTGCGGAAGATGTGCCTTATCAAAGGTCATAATGATGTACAAGCTGATGATTATAAATTCTCTCATAACGGCTTTTTCTGTTTCCATTTTGACCCTAGACGGGGTAAAATTAAGTGACGCACAGACGACAGTTATTTCGCTACTATACACATCTCTCATCGTTTTAATTTCCAAAACAGCTCCTTTAAAAAACATATCGAATTATTCACCCCCAAATTCGTTATTCAACATTAGCGTTATGTGTTCTTTGATCTCACAAGTATTTATCCACTTTTCTATCCTAATTTATGGATGGAAGTTGGCCTGTTCGTACAGACAACCTAATTACGTTCCAGACTTGAAAGGAGATTTCTCCCCGAATTTGGTGAACACCTGTATATATTACCTCATTTATTGCATCAATTTATCCATTTTTTCATGTAATTATGAAGGGTTACCCTTCATGACCCCTATTCACAAGAATAAAGAGATCGTGTACATTTTTGCTATGAATTTTATTTTCCTGTTTGCTCTAGTTATGAATATAATTCCTTACTTGAATTACTTCTTTTCCCTTGTCTCCTTTCCAAATGTGCACCTGCAGTTTCTGTTTTTGTTTTTAATGATTTTGGATATTGTCGCACCGTACCTCATTTGCAGCTTCATCAGGCGCGCGAGACTCTACGCGTTCGAGCGTTTCAGAGTCAATTTGTGACGCGAAGGACGAATCGGCAGAGTGGGGACAGGTGCGTGCGAAATGCGATGACGCATGTCGTTTAGTATTTCTTTTCTTTTTTTTTTCCCCTTGTTTTCGACACCCCCACTTGCTTACATTCCGTGGGGGAATAACACGCGAGGGCCCCTTGCTGTGAAATTTGTTACACCCCGCGCTGTGCCTTTATTTAGGCGCCCTTCACGTCGGCGTAACCATGCGCCTAGTTACCCCACATAACTGCCTTTTCACCCGCATCAGTTGAGCATTTTGGATCCGTACGCGGGGTAGAGCCCCTGCACGCTGCTGGTCCAGCGCCAACAGGTCATACAAAAAAAAAAAAAAAGAAACTTCATCTTCATAAATTGTCAATATGTTATATTCTTTCTGTAAATGTTACGTGTAAGATGGGACGGTTATTCCATTTGGAAATGAGCGAACCTTATATGCGGCCCTTTTTCCATTTGTAATAGATTAGTACTGATGGGGATAACGCACTGTAGACACTCCACTCAGCAGGTACACCATTACGGTATTACTCTTACCTTGCAGCTAAGTTTCTCCCATGAGACGCTGCCCCATATGTGGTACCAACGTGTGCAGAAGACGTCTGTGTGCTGCATTATACCAGGGCGTGCTGATTGTGTAATTTTTTCCCCTTTTTAACAAACGTACTTTTTTTTTAAAAAGCCATTTTGTTCATTTGAACGGGTTTACGTACACTTCAACGTGCACACTTACATACAGAGCGGGAGAGACTCATTTGACATCACTCTTTCGTGAAAAAAAAATGCCTGTGCAATCATTCGACGTACATGCGAAGGTTCTGAAGAAGTTATGCATTTTTTCCATAACAGCTATCACTTATAATTGTAGCCTTGTTTGGCGAATATTTGTGTGGAAAAAGAAACGTTCTGTATTTTTTTTTTTTTTTAATTATGCATCACTTACCCACATTTTGGTGCAGAAACTAAGATACACATGTTAGGAAAAAAAGGAACCTTCCAAAGTTAGGCTGGGGTGGAGGAATTTCACCCTGCGCGAGTTGTTATTTGGGGAAATGTTTACCAGAGCAGTGCGGGGGGGGCTAACTGTGAAGTGGCGTAATTCTTTCGTTTGCTTTGGAAAAGAGAAAATTGTGTAACCACTGGTAAATGAGATTTTCGTAAAAAGGGAGAAGAGAAATTACAAAAAAGTGGAAGTTATGCGTTTTTTTGTTTTTTTTTTCCTTTTTTCCCTTCTGTTTTCTTTTTTTTTTCTCATTTTCCGTGGTGCACAACAGGAGTTAAGTCGCTGAAGCTGGGAAGGAATTATTGTTTCCTTGAAGTGTACACCATGGTAACGGAAGAATTAATTAATGCACACTAGTTACATGCAAATCTCAAGGTGTGTCAGTTCTTATTTGGGACTTTTCCCCTCGCGTTTTGACCTATTTTTTTCTTTGATTTTTTGCCTTGCTTTTTTGCCTTCATTGTTTGCTTCCATTTTTTTGTTCCCTATTTTTTGCTCCTCATTTTCCTTTCTCATTCGCAAATTTCCACCATTCTCTTTTTTTTTTTTTCTTTTTACACTCTCTACCCCATATTCCTTCGTCAACATTTGAACACATAATGATTATTTTAAAATAAATATAGTTGCGCGTCAACTAGAAGATCAATTATTTTTATTTCCCACTCGAGTGTATAGCTCTCTTTGCGTATTACTCACTCTTAGCTGCTTGTTCGTTAAAACACGTTTTCCTCCATTTGGTATTTATTTCTGTACCTTTTTACTTATACTCATTTTCCCCCTGTGCGCGTTTGCGTATATTGCAATCATTGCGTACACTGCTCTTTAGCGCTAAGATTTGTGCAGTTCTTTTTTGTAGAAAGAATCTCTAACTGTTCTTTCGAGTTTGACGCATTTATTTGGCAAGTTTGTGTTCGTTTGTTTGTTTTTTTATTTGTTTTTTCTTTGTTTTTTTTTTTTTTTTTCCCCTTTTCCCCACGCCTACATCCCCCTTTTTTTTTTTTTTTTTTTTTTTGTTCATATGACCAACAAAACAGCAAAAGTGGTACTTATTCCATTTTGCAATAGAATTGATACATTTGGAGAAAACAAAGGGGGTAAAGGGAAATTTATAAATTAATCCCCTATCATTTAGCATTTTTTTTTTTTTTTTCTTCTTTACATTTAAAAGGGAGAAGGCGCAGGAGAAAGAGCTGTGAAAAAAGTACAAAAGAGGCGAGGAGAGAAAAAACGAATAGAGCAGCAAACACTTTTTTAGGCCAACTATTTGGAAAAGGTGTTTATAAACGTAAAAATCTCTTGGAAAGAAAAAAAATAATTAGCAAGGAGGTAAAACTACACAACAAGATAATGCGGTATAGTCTCGCATAGAAGGAAAAAGTAGAACAGGGAAGATAACAATTACAAAACTTATATAATGTGACGTATATTTAATATAACTATAATGAAACACTGTGGAACAGGCGTTGGAATCATATGCAAATATAGCGCGTATAAGGACTTAGCTTTCAAAAAAAAAAAAAAAAAAAAATTGGGTACCCACCTTGAACAGAAGAGAACAACTGGAAGGCAACGCCGGTAGGTGTAAGATTGTCTAAGCAGATAGATACATACATAACACGTGCTGAATAATGCAAAGGTGAAAAAGGTTTATGTGTGACTCTGGACGCGCGAGCATTGTAAAGATATCAAACACACGCAAGCAGGCAAACAATAACAACAACAACAAAAAAAAAAAAAAAAACGTAAACAAGCCAGCCATAAGGTGAACACACACTCGCTTAACAGCATAACCGTACATGCACAGAAGCAACACGTGCCCACGGAGACACCATTCCCCAAGCGTTACAAACACAGAAGCAACATAAAAAATGATAAGGACGAATTCAATATTTTGCTTAACACAAAAATGAAAGAACTATCCTTGGAAAACGAATTGGAACTGATCTATGAGTACACGTTGTCAGTGGAACTTTTAATAAAACGGTTGAGTGATTATATCAAGAGGAAACACACACAGAAAAAAATAATTGAAAGGAGGGATCTTTTGAACAAATTTGTTCTCAAGTACCTAAATAAAAATGTCCCCTCGAAGTTATCTCATCATATGCGATATGCCAAGAATAACAAATTTTATGAACAGATTTTTTTGTGCGCCTTCTACCATGTCATTGTAAAGTTGGTGGTGCGCGACCCTCTGTTCGGTTTGCAGAAGGGAGAAGGACGAAGCGGTCATGATGGGTTGAACGCAAGTGATGGTTGTAGGCTGAACGGAGGGCAGCCCAAATGTACAGAAAGGGCAAATGTGTATGTGACCACGAATGAAGGGATGGGGAGGAAAGAGGAAGTGTGCAACAAGGCGGTTGAGTACATAATGAGGGAGAATTTGCCTTGTCACAAGTTAAATGACGGACTTTTAATTCTTCATTCAACGTATGAGCAAATATGCGACGTCATTTATGCATTCAGCGTTATATGCTATGTGTACGAGTTTCACTCGTTTTTTAGAATAAGGAATGTAAAAATTGCAAAAAATGACAAGTGCGCATTTGGCTTTTTCAGCTGGATTTACGACATCAAGTTGTTCGTTTTGAAAAATTTGAAGCTGGGACAGGTGCGCACAAGTGGGAGAACAGGGAGACGTGACGGAAGTAATGAGAATCATTCGGGGCAGACGCAGAGCCCCAGTGTAGCCCCGAACAACGCAGAGACGTGTCATAATGGCCAGGAGAACGAGTTTGATAGTGGAAGCAGCAGCAACGCAGATTTTATGACAAGCACGGAGGGTGGAGGAAACACATTTGTAAAAATGTGTGTAGATAAAAACGGTCCACAGGAGAATTCCGCCCACCTGGGTAATAGCACCGTGGAAATAGAAAACTCAATTGTTGATGAAGAATTTTTTAATTTCATGTTAAGCAGGGGCAAACATATTGAAAGAATTTTCTTCGCCCATCCGGATGAGGTGCAAAGTTGCTATGATGGCATAAATGGCGAAGGACTTTCAAGTAACCATTTAGGAAGAGGCACCAACAAGGGAGGTAAAAATAGCCAAGATGATAAGAGAAGGAATTACCCAAATGATACTCCCGATAGGGATAGGAATGTAATGTCAAATGATATAAACAATGGAGTTGGAGTTTCTGTGGGTCAATTTCACGGTGGAAATGGTCACGTAGGAATGTATGCCCAGTTCAGAAATGATACGAATAGGGTGTTAGTTTATGGGGGTAAGTGGAAGATAAAAAATTATAGCGAAGTAAAGACCCATTTTGAGCAGCTATACAATAAGATGAAGAACGTGAAGACATCCAAATTGTACATACCCCTCTGTCTTTACGTCAATTACGCATTTGATTTTTATCACTTGAGCGCAAAAAGGAAAAGTTGGAAAATTATAAATGTTAGTTTATGTTTTGATGAAGGAGCGTATGACTGTACCAAGGTTAACAAAAATTGCAATACAAATCATGTGAACAGTTTTTTTTCAAACTGGAATAGACAGCCGGAGGAGGATGTGAACAGGAGAAGCTGCGTTTCGTTTTATATGGGAGGCCTTGTCGAATTCATTAACAAAAATAACAGTTTGAAAAAAAGGCGCATAATGGCTGCGCTGAAGAAATATATCGATTGCGAAATGCTCGATAGAAATAATTCGCCTTCCCTGGAGGAGAACGAAGAGGATGAGAAAAAAAATAAATGTGATGCAGCAGACTGTGATCAATACTATAAGATATTTTACACACCCAATGGAGTGTTTGGACAGGATGGAGACATTGGAAGGAGGGAACCTGGATGTAAAAACAACACCCACAGTGCGTCGTCCTCTGAGCATTTTAGTTCTGACCATATAAGTGGAGAAATGGATCAAATGCAACCCCATGGAGGACAAAATAACTACCCATGGAACGGCACAACAATCGATCATGAGCAAAAAAAAGGCCAAAAGGGAAGAAAAAAAAATGCACATATTGGTCCATGTCAAAGAGGAAAGAAGAACCCAAATTATTTCGTTATAGGGATAAACGAATTTGTTAGCGAGCTTCTTTATATGTTCATTTCATATGTCTGCTTGAATGTTACAAAAATTGCAATTTTCCTAATCGAGAGGTATAAGATGACCATACCGAACAGGTACTTAGATCTGAGCTCCTACCTATTTATATGCCAATCGAATAAGCTGAATTCAAACATTCTACATTTCATAAACAAGTACAAAATTTATCATTATCTTTTTCGAAATGATGTTTCAAAGAAGGACTTGAAGGAGAATTATTTTATTTACAAAAAGATCAAGTGCAGTGAGATGGGGAGAAAGCACAATGATCTGTACTTGAAATTTTTGGAAGACATTGAAACTCAGTATTATGTGACTTGTTCTGGAGAGAATAAGAGGGGATATTCGGCACTATGTTCTGGAAATGCGGTCGATAATAGGGGGAGCAATGATTACTCGATGCGCGTTCGGTTGAGGGAAGGACGCCGCAGAGGGAAGCAACTTGAGGGGAATTTTGACACAGGACACCCTTATGATAGTGGTAATGGGGAAAGAAACGCGGGCTTAACGAGCAGTAGTAACAGTTTTAGCAATGAGGGAAGCCACGGAGAAAGCCATGGACGAGGAAATCGTGAGGGAAGCCAAAGCGGAAGTAACAGTGGAACTCACAGCGACAGCAATAGAAGTAGAAGCAGCAAATTGTACTCCACACCCAACACTTGTACGAATAGCCACAACCAACATATTAATGAGTCTTCGTCAACTAAGAAGGAAAACATGAAAGGTGATATGAAAAATGTTTTGGTATGGGCAGAGAATCACAGTAGCCAGTCAAGCGAATGGAAGAATTGCTCCAGCAGCAATGTCAATTTCAAGCACGGACAACACAGTGCTACAATTGCTACTGTGGAAAGGAGTCAAGGGGGAGGAATGGCGCTACCAAAAAGTAATCACACCGATATGAATAGCCCGAATGATGAAATGGCATGCGATGTGGCAACTGCCATTTTGTACCCATCGGATGGGAGGAGCGCAAAAGGGGGTGCTGCACAGATCGGGGGGTTCCCTTGTGCAGATGCCGTGTGCTTGGGTGGAAGTAACCGTAGTGGAGGTACCAACAGGGAGAATGCCTTCCATGCGGGCGTAACCCACGAAGGCGACCAAGCCGAGAACAAAAGAATCGAAGAGGTAGACCATTCCCCGAACTTGAACCATATGAACAACAGCAAATATTACAACGATATTACGTACAACAGTTGCGAAGGTGAACAATACTACTGCGAGGTTCATAGCAACAACGTGTGCAAGAGGGAGGATACACACAATAGAGTGAAAATATATTATCCAGAGGGGTGCACGCAAGAGAAGCGGTTGGAGCGTTCAGATATATTGGAGCTGGCGGAGCAGTTCAATTGGCAAGACAAAAATGGCCATGCTTTGGCGAATGAAGTGTGTAACGTAGGAGACAGTTGGTACTACGGTTGCGCTGCGGGGGAGAAAGAAAGAATGGTTAACGTTCCCCTGGTGAGCGTCTCTCCTAGCAGTTCACCCCTAAACCCTGCGTATGTTAGAAGCATAAACTTCCTCAATCGTGAGGCGTACCCAGTCAAGCTAAACGTGCCATACAGCCTGAACCTGAATGACATTCTAAAGAGCGACGTGCGCATTTTACACTTGGTCGACAGCTGCAAGGGAAACAAAACACTGGAGCTAGAATTGATAAAGCAGCAACTAAAAAACGGAAACGTAAAGTACGCAATCAAGTTACTAAAGATGTTCAACTATGAGTTGCTACAATTTCCAAACCTATTCTACTACCTAAATTATAAGTCTTACAATTATCTGGTGAACAGCTTCGACAGAAGGTACATAATTTATTACCTATATGACAACCCTAAGTATTTGAAGATGTATTTTAATGCTTTATTGAAGAAGAAGAATTTGGAGGCGTGTCTCTTGGCTGTGTACTTTTTGTACCCCTTGTACATTTCTTCTGAAGACGTAGACTTTCGAATGTTTTACTTTTTGTTTTTCAAGCCGAGGAAGATGAAGAAGACGAATTACAACAGCAACATTGTACACAACGAGCCGTACCTGCGTCAATACGAAAATGAGTACAGAGATAGAGACCGAGACGCAAGAAGGAACAGCGGTAGTGGGTTTGCCGACGGCGATGGAAATGCCTGCGAAAATGGTACCGATAGTGGTGCTGGCAGGGGCAGCCCCCCTGTTGCAGGTATGAACCCATTGTGCAATCAGAACTACAACACTGTATACTCCTTTCTAAAAAACGAATGTGTAATTATTAATGACCTCCATTTTTGTTTCAAAAATGAGGAAGTCATGCCTTTCGACAGCGTCACGAGGAAGGTGTACAAATTGACAGACCTGTGTAAATATTTCGACGTATTTGAAAAGCTAAAAAAAATTAATACGGAAATTATTAGAAACTCGTTTGATTATCTAATTAAGAGGAACGGAAAGTGTTCATGTCCAAAGAATTTTATTTGCATAAACGACTTAGGGTCATCTTTGAAAGTCGTAAAAGTTTTAGAAACGTTCGAAGATTTCTTTACACTTTATGAATACATAAAGAAAAAAGAGAGAGTCATATTTATTGATGCAGAATGGAAATGTACTATATTTCGTGAAAACCCCATCGTTTCGATTTTTCAAGTAGCCCTAAAAGATAACCCCGTGTCGTACATAATTGATTTGAAAAAAATTGCAGTAGAGAATTACGAAATTAATTATTACATTTCTGATCTTTTTCGGGATCAAAATATTATTAAAGTTGGAGTGGCTTTTTTAAACAACGATATGTTACATTTTAGAAAATACTATGACATTTTTGCCATGTTGAAATGGGAAAAATATCACAGCATATTGGTGGACAGCATTGATAAGGGAGAAGAAGTATCCATCATGGGAGAAGATCATACGGACTTTTTGGCTTCATATGAACTCCCATTAGGAAAGGAACAAATGACTAGCAACAGCACGAGTGACTGGGATGTGTTGTTAAGGCGGATTATGAAGAGCGTCTGCGAGAGTGATGACCGCAGTGGAAATGCAAATGATGGTGGGATCCATCTGAACGAAGGGGAACAAGGTCAACATACTAACAGGAATGGTCCCCATGCGGCAGATAAACGAAGGAAAGGAGGAGGAATACAAAATACCAATTTGAGTAACGACATAAGTTATAAGAATATCTTTCCTGTTAATTATTTTGTGAAATACAAAAAGAACCAAGCATTGATAGATAAGCATTTGAACTCAAAATGCAGTGTATGTGGAAAGGTTGGGATTTACAGTTGTATACACAAGTACTATGACTTGGAGTGTATTTACCTGAAATATTATGAGCAGCTGAAGGGGTACTTTCCTCATTTACGAAAGAACATGAGTTATTCTGTCAAAATATTTGGGAAAGCTTTATGTCCAGACAAGGAAGTTAACAAAGAGTGCCAGCTCATGAACTGGAACTTTAGGCCCCTTTCCTCCACCAGTGTAGAGTATGCCATACTAGACGTTCTTATTTTGAAGAACTTTTTTAATTTAATTCAGTCCAAGTTGTCATTTAGTATTGAGCAGGCCCTCTAACGAAGGGTCCGGCGTAGAGGGGAAATGCGGGAGGACACTTACACGCCACACATGTGAAAGCTTTCGGCGCGTATACATCACGAAACCTACGTTGATATATATTGTTTAGGAAGAGCAGCGGCCGTGGAGGAAAATTTCGCTTTCATGGCATTGCACACATTGATTGCCAACTGGGGTGTATGCGACCCATCCATTGGCCCCCAATTGTTACAAAGTTAATCATTTGTTCATGTCGAGCGACAGAGCGCTTTGAAGAAAACGGACTGCGTTCGAATGAAACGTGTTTTTGAAGTGGCTACAGTTTTTAAAAAAAAAATTTTTAAAGGAACTTTTTTTTTTTTTTAATTCACTATAATGGGGAAGCAGTTCCACGTACTGCGCACACGTTATTGCGTCCCCCTTCTCAGTTGTCCCTTCCTGGTATTTGTCGCTTCACCGATTTGTTTTGCTTTTTTTTTTTTTTTTTTTTTTTTTTAAATTTAACCTTTAACTTTTGTCAAAAAATATTTTTTATAAAGTTTATACATAAAAATTTAATTTTTATTGTAGTGAAAAAAGGAGAGCAAAAATATATGCAAACATAATATGCAGCACTTTTTAATGTCCTCGTGGATGATAAACATATATCAATGTGATCATACCAATCAGGCAAAAAAAAAAAAAATGACGCATGAGTGTTACGCGCTTATATGTCCAGGGAGAAAAAAAGGATGGGAAAGAACAGCATTTAGACATGTACGAACAAATGGCCAAAAAAAATTCGCGCAAATGATGTTACACATTGGGAACGGGTTTGAAAGAGCACCTACTCTCATGGAGTGAGAGGGGGGGGAAGAAAAATGATAAAAGGGAAAGCAGAACTCAGAGTGTTATGCTACATATAACGAGTAAAAATGCCTTCCAAAAATGTTTTTATGGTGAGAGAGAAAAAAAAAATGTTCTTCCCCGATTATTTCCACCCACGCGTTGGCAACATCTTTGTTACTTTGCGACGGTTCCACAATTAATCTTCTTCCTCTTCTATCTCGCTAGAATTCTCATCATCATCACTGGAGTTCTCATCGTCATCATCACTGCTGTTGTATTCATTGTCACTGGAAAGATCATCCTGTTTGTCGAGGAGTTCTTCCAATCGTTTTTCGTCATCTCCTCCTATAACCAAAATTTCACCTTGCTGTTTAAAATCCCCTCCTTTATATTCCTTAATCTTATCGCTAATCAGTTTCATGGCCTCCTGAATTTTGGCCATTCCGAGATCCTTATCCTGGCAGGATGTAACAATGACATATTGTGGTGGAGCAATTAGTTTAATATTAATGGATACTTCATCGTTTGAAACTTCCTTGCCTTTTTTTAAAGCTTCTTTAACAGCATCAATTCCTTCGTAACTGAAGCACCACACATCAATTCTTCCTCTCAATTTTAGGGCTTGTGCCGCCAGTCTAAGTTGAATATCAGCCAGCAGGGAATTTTTCACATCTTCGTTTAGTTCTATGCCTTTAAAAACCGCTTCTGGGTTCACAGTTGCTTCTTTTAAAGCGTCCAAGGCATGCCCATACTTCTTGTAGAGTGGCCAAATGGCTATTCTGTTCAATTCCTCAACGGTCATATTATGCTTCTGTGCAACGTGCCTAACAGTTTGGTGTACTTTTTTGGACTTGGAAAAATGTTCTTCACATTTCATGATATCTTTTGGTGACACTCGCCTTTTGGACAAATCGATGTAGCCCTTTTGGCTATCGACTCTTAGGACTAAAACTACTTCGTGCCTTCCAACTCGAATTAACTTGTTCACACTTCGAAATCGTCTCTTTGACAGTTCAGACATTAGGATCATTCCTGCGAGGGGGAGGGGGAAAATGTGGCCGTTCGGTGTGACAGGGGTCCATGGTGTGGGCATGTGCAACGTTTAGCTCTTTTTCCAATCGGTTGAGAGGCACGTTTGTGGGTCATTGCAGCAAACCCTTCAGTTACACACAGCACTCTGTTCTGCTGTTTCGTTTTTTTTTTTTTTTTTTT